TTCAGATGATTTTGCTTTAATTATTTTTTAACAACCAAGTCCTGTAAAAGAGAATCAATAAGCTGACAATCTGAAATCTTACAAACTATCTTTAAATTGCTGCCACTTTCACCCAGTGATTGCAAAGCAATCTGCTTTTATCCACAAAGATCCTGCAACTGTAGCACAAAACAGCTGTGTGTGCGTGCGTGCGTGTGTGTGTGTGTGTGTGTGTGTGTGTGTGTGTGTGTGACTGTGGGAAGTGGGGGTGGGGGGTAGATGAACAAATAAAAGGGTGAAGTCAAAACACCAGCCAGGCCGTAGCTCTTCTCATTTATTTGTTGTACAAATATATCTGGGAGACAGAGACAGAGTTGTCGGATGCTTAGCTCACTGACCTGTAGCCACAGCACACTTGCAAAACAAAATCATGCCAGAGACAAACAGGAGATAGGCCATATTTCTTGGTCCCTGTGACAGAAGGGTGAGGTGAGGTGCTGGGATGGGGGTCTCCTCCTGCCAGCTTGTCTGGGTAGGTGCCCTGTGCTCCCTAATAATCGGAGCTGCAGATATAGGCCAAGGCAGGACCTTGTTGTGAGGTCAGAAGGGAAGCACAGTGATCGATAGAAGCGGTCTCCCTGAGCAAACACTTCAGTGGTAGATATGTGCTGTGGTTAGCTTAATGGTCTTTGCATTAAGCAGTTAGACATAACTCATCAATGTCCACCAACAAACTAGGGAAAGGGCAGCAATGATTAATGGTCTATATGTTTAAATGTATCCCGACATCCTGAGCACACTGAAAAGTCAGAAACTCATTTTTCCCAAACCCCAAATTAAATTGGAGACACTACAGTTACCGAAAGATCTGGGCGGGTGGGGAGTGCCAAACATAGAAAATTATGTTCTCTCAATGCAAGCGAGGATTCATGAACATTCTGGGCTGCCACGGCTAAATATTGAGGAAGTATTATGTAAACCATCCTCACCTGTTAGCTTTCTAGGGAAACGCCTAAATGACTTACCTCACGTAACAAAGCACAACCCACTGATATATAATGCTATGTGGACGTGGGGAAAACTGAGAAAACTTTTTAACAGTAGTCATCCGTTTAATATTTTGTCAATGCTTATAAATAATCCAGACCTTCTGACATAGTGTTGAGCTTTGTGGGATGGCATAAAGTAGGTGTAAAGAGGTTTTAAGACCTCTTTAAACATGGTGAGTTTAAATCATTTGAATCCCTGAAGTCCCAGTATTCTGTGTCAAAGACTGAGTTTTATAAGTATTCGCAATTGAGACAATATGTGTTAAAAAATGCTAAATCATTACAAATCTCAACAGCCTCTTCTCGGTTGGAGAAGTTTTTCTGGATAAAAGGGAGCATAAACATTTTGTATCAAAGTTTGATTCAGAGATTTATGCCCTAATTGTGGATAAATTGGCATGGCTGAGAAAATCTTGGGGGATGTTGCTTAAATGTGAAATAGATATACAGGCATGGGACAAAATCCTGCTCCTTCCATCTAAAATCTCTGTTTGTAACCGATTTAAAGAACTGCAGCACAAAATTTTGCACAATGTGTAGATTTCTCCGTATATTTATAGTAAGTATAATATGGGAACATCTTCAAATTGTCTCCAGTGTAAGGCCGGAGTGGGCACTAGATTTCATTGCTTGTGGGAATGTGCTATTATCCAGTCACTTTGGAAAGAGGTCTGTGCCAATGTTAGTACAGCCATTGGTCATCAGGTGACAGAAAACCCATTAATGTGTTTATTGGGATATATCCCTGTCTCACTGGTACAACATGAGCATGTGATTCAGTCACTGTTAATGTTGGCCAGGAAAAGCATTATGTTGAGATGGGAGGGGGCTGAGCCTCCCTCCATTCCTCTATGGAAGTCGCTCATCATTGATGTTATGACTCTGATCAGGCCGGGACATCATATTGATGGGAGCTCCCGAATTTTTGTGGACAAATGTAAGAAACCACTGGAAACACTGGGAGCAACCTGTAAACTGGATTCTAATGGACAACAATTATGGACATAATTTATCACAAGTTCTCTGTGGACTCTGGAGAATGTGTAATATTCTAGTGCTGTGCAGTGTTACTATCTTGGATGTGAAGCAGTCTTGTATTTGTTGGGGAAAAAAAGTTAAATAAAAGTAAAAAAAAAAAAGAAGAAAAAAAAGAGAAACTCACTTTTTCTTTTTTCATTGTACCGATAAAGGAAAACAAAAAGTGGACCCTAGTGTGTTTGTTACCATGACGCTTATAAAATATCCATTTATTCTGATGCCAGGTGAAGGCCAGCCACAGACACAACGTGCTGCTGCAGTGTGCCTCACAGAGGAAAACTAAACATTACAAAAACATTTTAAACGTATAAAATTCAATATGTGAAATCAGATTTATGATGCAGTTGTTCTTGTTCCCATGCTACCACTAGGGGGTGCCAAATTTAAAGGACTCCAAATCAATACACTGCCTTTGAAATCTCATCAAGCTGTGTTTTATTGTCATCAGGTTTCATGTCCTGGTCCTGGGTCGGTGACCCAGCGCTTTGTGTTTACTGTTATTATGTTCTAGTTTATTCTGTTTTGTATTTGTTCGTAGGGTTTGAGTCGTGTGTTTACTGCTCCGATCATCCCTACCTGTGTCTGTACCGAGTCTGAATCCTGCATTTTGGGTCCACCACAGAAAACCAGAGTTTTTGTTTTTGTCTGGATATCCTAAACTGCTGCAACACACATACTGTGGAAAAAACAAGGCCAGGAGCACTGAAGGTGCAATCAAGCTCTTTAACTATGGTGTAGACACGAAAACAAGTGGAGCAGTAGTATGTAAAAGTATGTGAACAGCACTGTGGAGAGAAACAGAGTGCCAGACAGGATTCTCCAATGCTGGAGAATGGAGAAGTGCACTGGTACTGAATTTCAAGAACAAGGGTGATGTGAGGAACACCTAGAAGGTCAGTAAGAATCTCACTGCATCCAAGAGAAGAACTGTGGTGCTGTAGGAGAAAGTGACAGAGAAGTACTGACAGTGGTGCATGAAATGCATTCGGACAGCAAAACAGTTGTGAGATGGGTTCAAGGTGGAGATGGGATTACATCAGGCAGCTCTGAGCCTTTTCTTGTTTGCAGTGCGGATAGACAGATGATAGACAGATGCTTAGGAGTTTTCCTAAGCAAGATGTTTGCACACATTACTGTGAGTGAGAGTGGGCGGGTGGAAGAGAGCCGGGATAGCTGAAGGTATACGCTGGAGAGAAGACGAATGAAAAACAGAATATATGTGTGTGAATGAGAAGGAGACAGGTGGAAACAAACATGTGCAGAGGAGGGTTAGAGGATAGACTGGACAAAGTATGGAGCCTCCAGGCAGAAGGAAACAAAGAAGAGCTCAGTGGAGGTTCATGAAGGTGGATGTTCAAAGGGTGGCAGAGGAGGATCCCAGGGATGAAACTGTAACTGTGTGTAACTGTATTGTTGCAGTTTTATTGTGGAACAGGTGTCTTATGTAAATGAGACCTTGAGTCTCAGTGGGCTGAAGGTAATGAAGGTTAGATAAATAAATAAAATGGAAACAGATGATCTGCTGTGGCGGCAAATAAAACAAGAACCCAGAAGAAGTGTGATAAGCAGCAGACACTCAAATTTCATTTCACCAAATCTGAAGTAAAAAGTCCTTGTAGGTCATAACATAATATACTTTTACTCTGACAGTCCATTAGAAATGTTAGTAAAGGCACCAAAAGCAAAGCATGGCAGAAATGCTGCACCAGGGAAACTGTCCAAAGAGGTCAAAAGTGTCTTTCATCCCAGGCTGTAAATGCTGCAGTTTGTGGGACTTCATTTTTCCGCTCTGGATTTTGTCCTCTGGTAATACTGTCTTTATTACATCACTGGACCTGTTTTCTTGTAAACTGAAGAAACACAAAACAAACAGGCCCACCTCCTCAAGGACAGTCAGCGGTCTATGAAACTGTTCTGATATGAATGAATGTGAGAGTTTTGCAGCACAACTGCAGTCACCATTGTGTTCATCCGGTCTTTAAAAATCACACTGGGGGCCTAACAGTTGAGGACTCTCAGCTTTGTCTGTCTCACAGTGACCCTCAGCGCCCTGACGGATCTTCAGGAGCCACCCACGGCTTCCTGCATCAGCTAACAATAGGCAGTTGGACTTTTTCTTTGCGCTTACCAAGCAAAATGACTTGTCAGAGTCAATTATTATTAATGGCGATCTGTATCGTTTTGCTGAAACACCCTCTTATGTGCTGGCACCACTCTGTAGTATGTAATCAATCAGCAAGTGCAGATAAATATAGCAATCTGCCTCATGAAGTAGCAAACATGGTCTCAACAGCCAGTGTAACAATAAGCTGATAGACTTACTAAGCAATATCTATATGTAGGCCTATAAGGAGTTAGCCTGTAGCATAATTAGGTTTAGGGTTTTTAGGCTTATACGATTAAACATAAACTCATTTTTAAAATCTCTTCTGATTACATGAAATGTGCAACACACTCACATAAAAACTAACAAAACTACAGTAACAATATCTTTTAGAGTAATCGTACAGAAATACGCTAAAACACTAAAACAGCCTGTTTCGTTTTTCCCAGTTATTATTATTAACGTTAAATTGTTTTAAGCCTACCAGAGTTGAAACATTTCTTTTTCTACTGTAATGCAACCATGTGGATCATTCAAATGATGAAAGAAGAAAACAAAGATCGAAAGAAAACACGCGTGTTTTATTCTCTAAACGTCGAAAGCTGAGCGCTTTTCTAATCTTCTCTGACAATTTATTCATTCACTTGCACGTTTAGTGCGTCTCCTCCATCGGCTCGGCTCTTCTGTCCAGGCATTTTTCTGTGGCTGCGGAGAGCATCTGTCACATGACTCGGCATCCACCAATAGCAGCGTGGCAGCCTAACTTTGGCGATAAGGGAATCGCAGTAAAGAGCGAGCGAAGGAAAGGAGTTTCACTCTGAGCTCGTGAATGGTCATCATCGTACTACACTTTCTATTGGCCCTTCTGGCTCCTAAAGCATCCCGATATAGACAGCACTCACCCGGAATTCTGTTGGCCTTTCTTTCTTTCTTTCTTTCTTTTTTATTTTGCTCTCCTCTGCAGCCCATGCAAGGCTGCTGCAACACCTACATCCAGGTTTTAATCATCAGACAATCATCACTGCCTGCCTGCTGTCTGCTGCTCAAATGTTGGGAGACAAGGCTCACGGTAAGTGCCTCCGTTTTCCTACATGGCCTTCTACACTCCAGCTTCTGTCACCTTCACAGCTGTGACTTTTTATTTTAACCAAATGCTTGTCAAGAAACAAAAATCAGCGACATGCAGTCAGAAAAATATTCAAAGAAACACACAAGCTCCAAAGAGCCACAACGCGTCGTTTAATTATTAAGTTAATTCAGACTGTTTGAAAATAAGACGGCAGCATTTTTTCCTCAATGCAAATTTCAATTAACTGAAACAATCATCAGTCCAGGAAAACATCTGTCATTTTTTTTTTACATTGTTTTAAAATCTTGAAATATTGCTGCTCTGTGAAAAATAAAGAAAAAAATATGATATTGCTTATGATCTAATAATAATACTACCCGTCAAACTGCGAGGCCTCCACACTTCACTGTTCAGCGGCCTTCATTTCGTTTTACCGCCGATTCACTTCAGTGTGTGCGGACAGTTTCTACAAAGACAAACAAACAAAAACGGTAAAAATAAAAAACTAAAAGTAAACATTTGGCCGGATAATCAGTCACCGCCGCGTGTGTCTGTAGGTTCATGAACGACGTCAGCTTAGAGACTGAACCACGAGACTCAGCAGCGGAGTCAGATCAGGTGAAAGCAACAAAACCACAACAACAAACTGCAGACACATTTCGTTGTTAAGAATAGTCTGTCAGTTATTTCATAATGCAATAGAGAGAGTCTCATTGATGCCGATAGTGGCTGTATGTAGATTCATTTTTATTTGACTTTTCTTAATTTAAAATAAAAAAAATAAAAAACAGGTAGATATACGCATAACGTTTTTCTGCGGTATGCCTCCGTAGAGATGAGCTTCTCTAACAACACACAAAATTAAAGCTTAAATTTACTTAAATAACCTTTCGGGCAAAAGTCTTTAAATACATCCGCTCTTGTGTTTTTCATCTAATTTGTTTTTATTTATTTTTTATTTTTATGTATTTAAAAAAATATAATTTATTCATTTAAAATCTTACATAACCCAATAATTCCACTCCTACATAACATTTATTTAACTGTATGATGTAAACACATTTCATAATTTACATCTAGAAATGCCTGTAAAATAATTAAATGATTTATTGCAATTTATGTATTTAAACTTCTATTAGAAAAAAAACACATTATCGTTATTTCATATCACATTCACATGAAAACAAACTGTCAAAGGTTGAGATGAAACTACAATAAATTGTAGGAAAATGATTAAGTGCCGAAAAGTAAAAAGTCATGTTTGTTGGAATAATGCACAATATTACGCGAATCTGTATTTTTTTTTTATTCGTTTTTTATAATTGATAATTCTTTTAAAAAACACGGCAGAAATAATTATCAGAGGCGATTTGCATGGTAGACTCACTGTGCGTGTGTGTGGCAGGTGTGACTTTAAAGGTGATGGAGTACACATACGACGAGGACCTGGAAGAGCTGTGTCCTGTGTGCGGAGACAAAGTGTCTGGATATCACTACGGCCTGCTCACCTGTGAGAGCTGCAAGGTACGCAAACGGTAGCCATGCGCGAGGACATGGTTTTTTTATTTATTTGAAAATGAGCGCTAACCACAAACCTGCTGCTAATTATTGCTTCTCCAGCTGTTAGAAATAACTGCTGAACTTGTCTGAATTTAATGTCCGTGAAACATAAATGCAGCGAAAAATGGACACTTACGTTATCCCAATTTAGCTAACGTGTGAAGGCTTTAATGTTAATGAAATGTGCTTCGAAATAATTAAATCTAAATACAAAAACGGCAGTCGCTCTCGACCTTTTATTTTGAAATCTAAACCCAGTCGTTTGATACCAGTGTGTCGCTCGTTTTCAGGGCTTCTTCAAGAGGACAGTGCAGAACAACAAGAGGTACACGTGTGCGGAAAACCAGGAGTGTAAAATAGACAAGACCCAGAGGAAAAGATGTCCCTTCTGTCGGTTCCAGAAATGCCTCAGTGTTGGGATGCGGCTGGAAGGTAAACTACTACAATAATAATAATAATAATAATAATAATAATAATAATAATAATGAAACAGGGACATTTTGCCTGTGATTTGCCACCATTTATTTTAATATGATAAAATAAATCTAATAAATAATATTAAAGTCTATCTGAGGCCACTTCTTTATGCGATGGTGCTGGCTATCATGCAGTGTTTCCTGCACACATGGGATGGGATTGATTCCCAGACAGCAATGCAAAGGAAAGCACCTGCTTCCGTAGCAGAAAAACGACACATTCTTGTCTTGCTGATAAAATTCTGGAGACTCCCCGGGGAAGAAGGAGTAAAGCTGCACAGACTCCTCGGGGATTCTTCTCAGCCCTAAAAAGGGAAGCAAAAAAAAAAAAAAAAGACAGACAAGGCTGTTAATTACTTTGTAGGAATACTGTGAACAAGAGTTTAGTGCTCATAAAGCTCAGCACGTCTGCACAGTGTAAGAGGCAGTCGATGGTTTTTGGGTCTGTAAACCTGTTTTCTCCTTTTGTCTCATGTGTGACAGCGGTGCGTGCAGACCGCATGCGTGGGGGTAGGAATAAATTTGGCCCCATGTACAAGAGAGACAGGGCCTTGAAACAGCAGAAGAAAGCTTTGATACGATCCAACGGTTTCAAGTTGGAGAGCACGGCTCCTCCGCCAGCCTCTCCTCTGCAGGCAGACTACGGCTTCACTGGCACCTTGCACACCCTTCCCACCATCTCTAAAAGCCTGCTCCCCTCCTCCCCGAGCTCCATCACTCCCACAGACTACGAGGCTAATCTCTACGGACCCCCGTCTTTGGGTATGGCCATGCAGTCACACGTGCCCCTCACCACCCAGTACCAGTACACAGCCTTTCCCGGAAGGGCGATTAAAGCCGAGTGTCCCGACTACACCAGCTCCCCTGAGACTCTTACAGGATACCCTTACCCAGACATGTACCCCTCAGCCTCGCTGCAACCCCCCAGCCTGCCGCCACTGGTTCTGGAGCTGCTGCGCTGTGACCCGGACGAGCTGGTCGTCCAGAACAAGATTGTGACTCACCTGCAACAGGAGCAAAACGGCCGGGGTCGGCTGGAAAAGCCCAGCACCTTCAGCCTCATGTGTCGGATGGCAGACCAGACTCTGTTCTCCATAGTGGAGTGGGCTCGGAGCTGCATCTTCTTTAAGGAGCTGAGGGTGAGTAGCAAACTCTTTACCGTGTTGAGTGTTTGAAATGAACCGTACATGGTTTCACTTGCAAAACATGTGACAAAGACACAATACATGTACATACAGGCTCCATGCAGTATTTTAGTAAACCTGAGATCTACCAGAAAATGCTTCATAACCCAAAATTAGAATTTTCATGTGGCGCATTCACCCAAAAAGAATCTGTCGGTTTAGATTTGAGGGATGTTTTCTCAGACTCAGCCGCTTGAGTCCCACATTTGGTTTTTCAAGAATTCACAAATAAAAACTGAAATAAAAGATACGAAAGAAAACACATATTGATCCAGTGACAATCAAGCAGTAAAAGCCGAACATTTCTGAAGATCTTTTATGGTTATGTCTAAAATATGCAGAAGTGAAAAAATAAAAGTTCATCACGCTCACAAAAGCTTTTTACAAGGACGGCTGAATCCATTCTTCCTTTGTTTCTGTTTGCTGTTTGTCAGAAAAAGGGAGCACGGTGCCGCGATGTTACCGTTTCTGAAAAGGATTAAGACGATGGCTTGTTTTAAGTCTGTATTAATAAGTTCACAGGCTTTCAGACCCAACAAACACATGAATGCAATTCAAATGTGATGAAGCTGGCGCCCACGGCTGACTCACAATCCACTCGCAGTCCATTCAGAAAGTGTTCCCAGCACTACTGCTGCTGCTATCACGTTCTCATAGAGGCTCTCACTTGCTTGAATTCATGTGAATGCTATTTCTGATTTCACATTTCTCAAATGTCCCGTTAATTTTTACTGCAGAGGAGAATTTCTTTTTCATAACTCTTAAAATATGTTTTTTTCCTCTAAACGAACAGAAAGAAGTGCTCTATTAAACTTCAATAATTATGATGTATGACAGTAATGACAGATTAAAGCGAAAACAAGGGTCTTTCTAAGGTGTTGAGCAACCAGAACAGCTTTAATTCTTCAAATCTCTCTAAATCTGCTGAAGGGAGAAACACCATTCTGCCAAAAAATCTTCTCTTATTTGGTCGAGTATGCTGGTGACATGTCATACAGGTGTTTGGTTGGGCTGAGATCTGGTGTGTGAAGGCCAGTGCATAAACCTGATGATTGTGGCCCGTAGATGGGGATAAGCAAACCTAAACCATGGCAGCAAAAGGCCTCACCAAGCATAACAGAGTCAACCTTTTCCTTTAATTTGTCACCAGTCCCCATTATTACATTATATGATGTCCTGTTACAGTCAGTGCCTTCAATAAGTTTTTCTTGAAAAATCAGTGTTCCTGATATTGAACTGTTATTTCCAACACTGCGCAGCTCTAAAAAGCTGCAGTTGGAGTAACTGGACTAGTTGGTCTGATGTCGTTTAGCTGTGTAACACAGCACTTTCAGCCTCTTATTTCCTCCTGGTAGGTGATAATATCACACACACCTCAGAGAATGATGATCAAACATCTGTCTGTGTGCCGACCCGTCTGTGTACGCTGTAAGCTTTAGCAGCGCAGTCAGAACGAAGTCAGAACTCACTGCGCTGCTGCTGATGGCACTGCTGCACGCACACCTCGTATTCTGAGTGAAAATGGAGAATTATTATTCTTTCCTGACAAATCAGACAGGTAACACAACAAAGACGAAAATGTCACCTTCTTCAATAAGTCATGATATGATGTGTCTGTGCTGACGAACAATCATCTGTCAACCAGCCATGGCCAAAGGGATTCTACCAATTAAACAGTTTAACTAGCAACAAAAGGTTGATGCTGTCCTTGGTGTGATTTGGTCCTTGGTGTCTTTTCATCAGATGCAGTTTATTTACTGAGGTACAGTCAGAGCAGTTCTGCTCCTTTCCTGCTTCACACGCAGTCACGTCTAGATATTTACTCCTGGGTCTTGGATGTGAGGAGCCAGTGGTTCATATTCTTGCATGTGAAAAGCATTGAGTGGTTTCCTTATGACTGGATTTACTGCTTGCAGCAAAAAGATCATGCATACAGCAATTTATGCAGTCAAGTCAAAAACTAATCATGCAAAATTACCAAAAAAAGAAAACACAAGAAAACCTACACTGATCGTCAGATAAACCTTTCTGTGAGTCCAACCTGCATGCAGGGAGATGGAATTTGAATTGTAACAGTTCTTCCCATTGAGCTCAGTTTTTCTTTCTCCAGTGACAAACACTAACCCCCACCCCTCTCTCCCCCACCCCTCTCTCCCCCATTGTCAGAGGCCGAACAGTTTTTTAAAATGTTAAATATAAGAATGTTTTTCCAAAATCCTTCATGGGTTTTGCTCTGGTCTACAGATCCGATGAATTTTAACATCTAATAAGACTAATAAGACGTAACATCTTATTAGTTTCAAACATTAAACACAGTATTAGGCCCTCTGATGTTTTTGTACGATTTTGTAAGCTCTTTGTGTGTGTGTGTGTGTGTGTGTGTGTGTGTGTGTGTGTTTGGAAAGCTTTATTGAGTAAGTGTAGCTCACAGCTTCCAGATTTTATAACATTTTATTCGAGCTCACTGTCCTGCTCAAATAGCAACTCAAAGTATGAACTGAATGGACTAAAAATGATTATTTGTTTCTGAGAACATCGATGCATGCTGATTAATTTATTTTATTGTTACTTATTTATTGTTATTTTATTGTTACTTTGTCTGTTTATTGTCGCAGAGACAAAGCTCCCATTGTGGGGATGATGGTTTTTTTGGTTGCATCTTCTCACACTAACACAACGAGGTATCTTTATACTGCGTCTGTGCCTGTGTGAGGGGATACTTGGCCAAACTGCTGCTCAGTCTCAGCAGCACAGGAGGAACACACAGCAGCTCATCATATTTTGTTATCAACAAATATCATCAGAATATACAGTAAATTTTAATATCTGATCATTTTAATCCAGCTGCAGACATTTAATTCTTTCTACTGATAATGTACAAAGTGTGTGTTGGTATACAGTCGACACAAGCACAGTACAAAGTTTTGGGATAAATGGGATAAATATCCTCTCAGTTTTAGTTAAAAAGATGTTCTAGTGTTTGGTCCTGACAGCTCCTCTAAGGAGGTCAGGACCTTGGCCTCCTCACCAGTAACATCAAATCATCTGCTTGGGATCATCTTTGACCAACATCTAAATATTGAATCTGACTAAGCTCGCTAAGCTCATCCAGTCTCGTTTCCTTCATCGAAGATATATCCCCCCAAAATCAAATCTTTACTGTCATTCAATCATCTGGAACTTTAACTGCTGCTCCTGCTTAGCCAGTTTCCTGTTGGTGCAGAATACAGCAGCAAGTCAACAGCTACTCAGGACTCACATATCATACCTATTTGCGCTTTCCAGTTTGGCTGAATCTGTGGTTTGTTTTATACAACTGCTGAAAAGTCATTTTTAAAAATCTTTCCCTCTATATTGCATCTATTTGTAGGTATAGAAGTGTGTTGGAATTAATGTTGGACCGCATGGTTGACAATGCGTCTGCATGTTGGAACATGCATGCTTATACATTTGAGCTGAGGAGCACTTTTAACTCTGTGATGCACAAATACATTTATATTAATTATAATTATTATTACTACTTCACTTTATGTGAAGCAACAGTAGAGCATTATGCTCGGCCTATCTCTTCAGTGATTGTCAGAAACCCACTGCACTCATGGTGTCACAGAGTCACAAAACCAAAATGTAAATTTTGTGGAAGAAACACAAAAAACAACACATTATGACAAAATATGCACACGCTGGAACATTCCACAACATGCCCATTCCCAGTTATTAATTTACAGCTAGAAACATAATAATGGTCATTTATTCTCACCAATTATCAGTGATATTTAAAATAATGTAAATGGAGAAGGTATTACTGGGGGGGGGATACACCTCTGAAGATTAGCATGGGTTACACAAATACTTCATGTTAGTCTTCAAATAATGCAAACTAATTAAAAACTGAATATAAGATACAAAGGTGATTTTCTTTTTGCTAATATCAAATTATTTACTCGTACATATATATAACCCGGCAGCAGGAAATCAATGAGAGCTAACCTTAGCCTTCTGTAACCTTAGGCTTTGTTATTTAATATAAAACATTTTAATCAGACTTAGAAATAGTTGTAATTACAGCATATAATTTGTAGCTTTCATTTAAAAGAGCACATTATTATAATTAGTAGTAGTCATAGTACTAGTAGCAGGACTGCTAGTACATGCTGCACAATTATTTTTCCTGCTTGGACAAACAGACATAATCAATCACGACAGAACAATAATAAATACGAGTGCTTCTTTTTTTAACCCATTGCTTGGTAGTTGGAAGGCAACGTGATGGTATTATAATATCTGATATATATAACATTCTTAGTAAGATATGTTGTAAATGCATTTTCAAGCAAGTATTGCTGCTATAGAGAAACCTAAATCTGACAAACAACAGATTTACTTTGGACTGGTTTGGTTCTCACGGACTTCATGAAATGTCTAATTCTAGATGTCAGACTAAACAACAGCTTTTAAAACATAATTATATCGCTTCAGATTTGAAATATGTTCTAATTTGCATTAATGTCTAATTCCCCGTTCATAAAAGTTTTGTCAGGCCATGAACCAAAATACGGAAAAAGATGAATAATGCTGGTTTTCCTCTTATATCCTTATTTTGAAGTGACAGCTTTTCTCACAAGTTTCATTTCCCTGCCAGGAGTCTCCTTTTATACACATCCAATGTACTTGTGCTGACATTTACACCATTTTTATGCACAGTGGACAGCCAACATGGACAGTGAGAACAAAGCTGTGCATATTTTGCCAAGAAAGCCTCCCGCTGAAAGAGCCGTTTCCCTGGGCTGGATAATTACATTCCATGCAGACGATAACGGGGGAATGTCAGCTCTCCATCGCAGCTCTTCTCTGCGCTTGCCTACATTGTTACTAAATTATTTGCAGAATGAAAGCTATCGATTGCTGCAATTTCCCCAGAGGTGGCCTTTGTCTGTCATATGTTTGACCTTCTGCTCACCTGGTGATGATGGAAAACGTGGCTGAGATGCACACAATGAACACAAACGCTACTAAAGGCTGGAAATTTTACTTAGAATACACGTTATTCATGAAAATATGGACAGAAGGCAAAAACTGCATTTTGGAATGACTGCAGGGTCAAACTTATTAAAGATCACATCTAAATATTAAATCAAAAACTTTGGATTAGTTGAATGTTGCTTTCTGGTCATGAATTATTGCTTGTGTTCTTTGCTCCCCAGAGTGTGTGATATATTAGTGAACGTGCACTCAGAGTGTTACCGCAGTACTCCAAGTGTTTCGCTAGTTACTAAACACAGGTGCACAGAAAGCAAACAACCCCCAGGTTTGTTTGAAAAACTGTCATATCACTTCTCTATCAAAGCTCAGAAGATAAATAACTGACTGATTGGCATGCAAGAAGCTCTGCTGCTATATTCCCATGCTTGCACTGGTGCTGCATGCACATTTCTGTTCCCAAGTTGCCACTTTGACCAGAACTGTCAAAACTAATATACTTTCTTAAAAGTCACTAACACCATATTTGTTAGCTGGCAGGGCCAGGTCCAGCCTCTGCAACTCAAAATGTAATAGCTGTCTTTGGAAGATCAAGGCTGGAAACAGACCTAGAAGGAATGGTGAAGTACATTCATCATTCTCTACCTCGAGAATAAAGCTGTGTTCATATCAGATCATTCTGCCTTGCAGTACTTGGGCCAGTATAGTTGCTGGAACGCTTTTGGAACCCTGAACAGTTAAAACAAGGGTTCAGCTGATAGCTGGAATCAAGTTAAAGTGTTTTGAGATATAATCAATAAGTCCTCTGATTTAGATTTTTTTGTAGCCCTGTTCTTTTGTTCTGTTGTCATTACAAAAAAGCAAACTTCAATCATATAGCTGTGGCTGTCCAATAAGAAGAAAGTAGCAAGAAGCCCAAATTATTACACCAAAGTTTAACCAGACTTTATTTTATCAATGTGAAAACCAACTGATGACCAAATGAAGCCATCTGTGAGGTTACTGCTGACACAACAAAGCATAGAAATAGAATTAGGGGTTGTTTTTGCTACATTCAGAATCTAGAAAATTTGCTTACAGCTTTTTTAACCAAATAGGTGATGATTTTTAAAAATTCCTGAACTGCCAACCCGCCCATCGGTGACCTTTTCCACATGCAACACAGATATCGCTTGGGAAATATCATCACGGTTGGCTGCTCTGCAGAGGAATGGATACAGTATCAGTGTGCAGTTGCGATGTCAGTAAAGGCAGTAGACTATGACAGACAACATTTACAGTTTCCTGTCATTTCATAAAATATGGCCCTCACAGGTAATATGACACTTAACACGTATATACCTGACATATCAGTTTCAACCCAGCAGAGACACAAACATTAAGAATCCATGTGGCAAATGAAAGAAATGCCTTCCTTCTACACTCAGCCTGCTATTTCTGAGCTTTTTTTTGTGGGCCGCAGCTGAGTGTCCAACTTCTCTTGGAGAGGAAGCAAAGGAGGTCGCCGAGACCTCTTGCTTCCTTAACCCCTTCCTTTATCACTGCACGCCCAGACCCCCACCACTGCACCGGTGCAGATGAGTGTTGTGGCAAGACTGCAACCTCTGTGACTGATATATAGCTTCATTCAGATGGACTGTAATTCTGTCAGCTCCATGTCAGATGAATGGGGTCTGGGCCTATTAGCAGCTGCGACCGCAAAATTACTGACTGCTGTGTCCTTCACTTTACAGACAATATTGTGGCAGCAGGATTATGGGTGTGATACAGTCGGGTGGGGGGAAACACATATGCACCCATCCCCCAGAGCAGAGCAGAAAAGGGAAAGGTGGGGGTGCTGGGGAGAGGTGAGGAGGCTGGAGAGGTCCTAGGTGTTGCTGGGCCAGTATGAAAGGAGAGTACACACACACACACACACACACACACACACACACACACACACACACACACACACACACACAGATGTTTTGCTATTAAAAGCCTAATTTTTCCCCCCATAGTCCTTTTATTTTTAAACTAATTGGTGACAGTGGTGTAAATATTTTTCGTCTTTCTGGTCAGAAACGAGCTCAATGTGAGAGCGAGTTTATCAAACAATATGAGATGTCTTTTGTTTTCCACTGAGTTCATCTTTGTTCTTTGTCTGCTTTTCTTGCGTCTGTCTGTCTGCGTTTCCTGAAGGTGGGAGATCAAATGAAGCTGCTTCATAACTGCTGGTCTGAACTGCTCGTCCTGGATCACATTTTCAGACAAGTGCAACACGCAAAGGAAGACAGCATTCTGCTGGTGACCGGCCAGGAGGTAACAACTCCCTCGCACAACTTCCCATCAGCACACCACCCAGTGTGCTCCACACATTGCACCCAATCCAGAGGAGTTTTGTTTTTACTGTTTTCGTATAAAAATATATATACACTATGTTTAGCAGTATTCATTTATATTTCACTGGCTGTTGATATCTGTACTAACATATTCTGATCCTAACAGTAGTTCAAATTCTAATGCAAAATCTCCATGCTCTAAACTAAATATAGAGAGACATATGTGTCTCATCAAAAAAAACATATAGTTTTTTTTATTTGCCAACAATTATTAGTGAAATAAACTTAACAGACATATAGAAAAAAAGGGAAACTCTGGAAAGGCCGTTTATCCAATAAATCTCTCAAAGTCCAGTTTAGTGTTAAAGTTAAGGCTATTTATGTTTCTTTGTCTTTATTTAATTCACCTTACATCAGTGTTTGCAAGCATATATAATTCTGGTGGTTAGACTGTCATCACTGTGAGGTGCAGGGACTCTGGAATTTCCCCGGGATCGATATTCTCTACAAAATGGGTGCAGTTAACCTCGGGGAACAAGTAAGCTTTAGTGTTTGGAAAGTCAAATACTTAACATGACACTGTGGAAAAAAATAAAATGTCACACTTATGTACTCAGAGGTGATCCAAGCCTTTGGGTTTTGAATGTAATCGTGTCCCCCGCTCACTGCTGCCCCATCCAGGGGGAGTGGATTTGTTAGCCATGTGCTAAACAGGCAAAAAAATCCTCCAACGCACTAACCCGGGATATTTGTCTTTGCTAAAGTCTCATGAATATAAGGGGCAAAGGAAATAACCAGTAGCCCGTGTTGCAGGTGGAGCTGTCATCCATCCTGTCTCAGGCTGAGGGGACACTCTCCAGTCTGGTCCAAAGAGGTCAGGAGCTGGCAGCGAGGCTGCGGGTGCTGCAGGTCGACCGCAGAGAGATCGCCTGTCTGAAATTCCTCCTCCTTTTCAACCCAAGTGAGTCATCTTGTTTGTGCATCATTGCTGCAATACAATGAGGGGATGCATTATGACGGCAAATAACTAGCATCCGGCACCGTTACCGTTGCTTCCATCCAACTTACTACGATGTTTTTACAAACTGCTGATAAGTTTCTCAGCTTAGAGGCTGAAGGAGGAGACACAATACAGACATTTCAGATAGAAAGTCTCTTCTTCTAAAAATGATTATTTAAGTACAGTAAGAGGGAACCTTTTGACCTTTTTTGCAAATAAAACTGTTTTGAAAAGTGTGGACTTATGTGTGTGGTCTGTAAATCACGCATTTTTCAAAGGCTAGCAGATGCAAAAATCAATCAACTTCATGGAGCTGCACGGCCATACTGGTGCTGTCTTTTCTCAGATTGTGAATAGCAACACTGACATCCTAATGAAAAAAATGTCACAATTGCAGATAATCTGCAGGAGCATTTTTATCTATGAGGTTACAAGTGTTTTCCAAACTGGCCTTTTTCCCTCCAATAAATTCACTTAATTAAATTTCTAGGCTTGACAAAAGCTGATATTAACAAAGACATCCTCCTCCATTGTCCACTAATGGCATTCAAAAGAAGCGTAATGGATGGGTCTATCATTTGATAGCAGGGCCGGCATTCATGTAGCGGCTTGTGCAGATGGAGAGAGCATAAATGTGGCTCGAACAGATTCCCTGAAGTGTTTGCTGTTTAGCGCTGGCAAAGCAGGGAACAAAGAGCTTTTTGAATGAGGAGAGCACTTGTCATAGGCAGAAAATATTTGCTGCCTTTGGCAGTGGCTCCTTTGCTTGCTCTGTTGCTTTCCCTCATCTTCAGAGTCAGGTTTGTCAGGGGTAATTTAATTGCCCTTAAGCAGTTTGAAAAGATGATTCAGAACATTGATTCAAAACATTTAATTACTGCGTGAATGGATTCTCAACGATGAGCTCAGCTGATGCTGAATGCCAGTCCACCAGAGGGCTCGGCTATTGTCTCACATGCACCGCGCACGCATAAAAACACACACGCAGCCACCCACACGCATTCACCTTACTAAATACATAAAGTATAGGTACATCATACACATAAAGCTAGTACTGAAAAAAGGCCATGTGGACATTGGTTGCACACAACTGTTTTTCTTTGGCAGAAACTTAAACAACTGAGTTAAACCAACACAACTTATTCATATTCAATAAGCCTGTGCATGTTGTGTTGATAAAACGCGACTGAAACATGTTCAGATGAAGTAAGTTGAGCTCTTGGAATATTTTAATTCTTCGCAATTTTGTCATTTTATTTGAACATTACTCAATAACCTTTACCCCAATACTACTTGGTCACTTAAATACTACATGTTGACTTCATATTACATAATGTTCAACAAAGTCTAGAGTGTGGTTAACATAAAAGCTGAATGGATCTACAATGACTACCATCCTCTTTATCCGGGTTGCAGGGGTATAACCCTGAACTGACAGCTCTATCACATAGAGACAAACAACCATTTGCACTCACATTCACGGTAATTAAGAATCACAAATTAACTTAACTCTAATAACTGCACGACTTTTAACTGTGGGAGGAAATCAGAGCACCCAGAGAGAAACCACTGCAAACTAGGCAAATTGTGGATTTGAACCCAGAACCTTCTTGCTATGAGGCAACAGCACTAACCACCAATCCAGAATTAACAAAAGCAGGAAAGCTGTGATTTCAAGGCTTGATGCAGAATTTTCTGTACGTTTTTGTCCTTGACAAGTTAAACCACAATAAATAGCGATAGCATGCACGGTGTGTGTGCAGTTGTCTGCCTCCTATAACTCCACTGATTTTACTGCAGCTTGAAATCTCGTGTGATCTTGTGAATTTCATGAGTCCAGCAACTAACCACTCTCACTAGATTGTATCAGGTCATCTCAACAAGAACAAATTAAACAGATCCTGCATGATTTAATTACATTCAAGAAAGAAACATGAACTTTTTGTGTTCAAATTACAAGGAAGCCTTTTTTAATGTAACAACCACCCAATTTACTGTTTTCGGTAAACTGAAAAAAGTAGAGGCGGCTGCTCGACTTGCCTGAGATGGATGCCTTCCTCAAACCACGATCCAAAGAGTGCGAGACTGGAATCCCGTGCAGGGTCGCGAGATTTAACGTTGCTATATTATTGACTTACTTCAATCAAACATGATATGAACAATTTAATCTACCCTCTCTGCATATCATGTAGCTTCTACACTATATAGTTACACTTAACTTTAAAGCATGAGGCACTTGTGTTAAATACACGCAAGATGCTTACGTAAATCCAAGAGATGGCCAATCCCTTTTTTTTCAGTGTATTTATCCCTCAAATGAATGATTTATGAGCGCTTTTAAACCGATTTTGAAATAAAGCCTTGAGTCCTGCTGCACCTTTTGCTCTGAGAGGGAAAAATGTTCTTTTCTTGGCCAGTTCTGGTTGGTCAGTAATGGTAACCTTTACGTCCAAATTTGGCTAAAAAGTGAAGCCGACTTTTCATAATTAAAAAAAAATGTTAAAATTGAATATAGATCAGACCAGGTCATTGTGTGTTGCACGTAGAGCTTGTATGGCCCTCAAATCACTTGCAACACACGTCTTTGTGTGCTACATTTTTGCCAGCCCTTCCCAACCTCCACCCATCCATGGCCCATAATGGCCCCCACCTGTGTCTGGCTCTGCTGGAGGTCTCTTCCCGTTAAAAGGGCTTTATTTCTCCACCACTATTTAAAATGTTGGGTTGAATCGCTGCTATATAAGTAAACTGTTATACTTGGTAGTGGAGTGGTTAGCACTGATATGGAGAAAGGTCTGGATTCAAATCTGCTGTGTTTGAGGAATGCACACGTGTTCAGCGCTCTTCCTTTGAACCTGAGGTGACGTTCGTTGTTGTCAAAAGCGTCTTTTTAACTTATTTTTGCTGGGTGGGAACAGATTACAAACACCAACCACAAAGCCTGTAGAACCTTCATACCGGTGGCTTAACGAGCTGTTCATGTTACTGATAACGCAGCCTTCAAACTGGGCTGAAATGAACCTTCAGCATCATCAAACAGCTAATAATATTGTTCATTCATCGTTTTGTGCTCATCACAACCAGGCCCCGCCCTTCGAGTTAACAGGATTGTTTTGTTTGGGTCTGCACGATATGACTCTGCCTCAGTTTGTGTTTCTGATGCTGTTGGTACAACTGCAATTCCAAGGTGAAAATGTGCAGCTGTGGTGAAGATGAAAAACCCTGTGTATATATATATATATATATATATATGTATATATACATGTAAAGCCAAGGTTAACTGACATAGCAGAACAATAGTTAGATACTTAGAAATGTTTCTAAATGAAAATGGTCTTTACACAGAGCGCTGCCGGCTATGATCAGTGTGAATCGCTCCATAAGCCTTTACAGAGGTAACTAATTTTCACATTGGTGTGAAAAACATACCTGCAAATCTTTTCTGAAGCAGCTCCCAGTCCTCTCTGGTCCATAGTTAACTTTTGATAATAAAACTTTAGTCTCAAGAAGACAGAAATGTGCAGAACAAATTATAACAAGTTATTTTACTTCAAATGGCTAAATGGTGCTGAGTCAACGCTCATCACTGTGGTGACCCATGCAGGGTTTAGTCTGGGGCGTGGTTGTTTGTTAAGCCACCGACATAAAAAGACGAGTTTGTGAAAAAGGAAACATCTGATGTCTTGTTCCAGCTCCACACTGTGCTGATGTACTTCATCCCCAAGTTCACAAAACATTTAAACAGCTTTGATGTTTGTTGGCTTGAATTCCTATTTTTTGACTTTGGAGATGTGCATTTTATACACAACATCCTCCATGTGTGACATTCATGGTGATGGGTAGGGTTTAACATTCTTTATAGAATTTGTTCTGTAGTCTGAACAGGCTGCCAATGTCAAATTTTATATATGAGACAGACTTTGCACAACATCTGCTAGAAAAGCCACATTTCTACTGCAAAAATGTGTCTGTTTACATATGACTTCAAACCCAGCATTAACCAAACCGACCTTGGTCTCCACCTTGGACAGCTCACCGGTGATGTGGCGCATATTAATAAATGAATGATTTCTTTCTGCACTCGTCAGCCAGTTTGTAATTGCTCACACATTAACCTGAACTAACTTTGCTCTCTTTAGATGTAAAATTGCTGGAGAACCAGGCGTTTGTGGAGGGCGTCCAGGAGCAGGTGAACGCTGCTCTGCTGGAGTACACCCTGTCTGCCTACCCTCAGTTCCAAGAGAAGTTCAGCCAGCTGCTGGTACGGTTGCCGGAGCTGCGCTCCCTCAGCACGCAGGCCGAGGACTACCTATGCTACATGCATGTGAGTGGAGAGGTGCCCTGCAACAACCTGCTGATCGAGATGCTGCACGCTAAGAGGGCGTGTGTGTGAGGAGCGTGAGCAGGACGCTCCGCCACCATATATTATTTGTCTAGGTGAGAGTGTGTGTGGACGGAAAAGAGCGAGTGACGAAAATGTTGAATGACACTAGACAGGTTCCCCCGGGTCACCTTTGTGGCACTTTTTATGTTTTGAGTTGGATGGAAAAAAAGTTCCTTAAAGTTTGGAATTATAAAGCTGCGTGTGTGCTCACCGGTAGTTTGGAGATTTTGAATATTAATGTTTTCATGTCCTGCAGAGCTACATTAACGTGACCTTATACCTATAAACTGGATTTTCTAACTTGTTTTCAAGCATCTAAAGTTCGACCTGCGTATAGAGTTACATTCTATCTATTTTGAGCAAATATAACATGAATTCCACAGAGCTGCCCATCAAACAGTTACTCTTTAGATACACGTCATTCATTGCCACCTTTTTCAATCTGTAACATTCACACTCAAAATATCTTTGTCGTATCGCTACCAAATTTTGACAAGGCCTTCAGCGTGAAATTTGCAGTCACATCACTGGATGGAGGTATTTGCTGGATGAGCAAATGTTTACTTTTTACAGCAAATATTTGTTTTCTCTTTCCAAAGTAATATTTTAATATCTGAATGAGACGTTTTTGATCCCAGTATCTGATGCTACATCCTAGATGCTTATCCTAGATTATCTTTATTATTTTGATGATGTCATGTCGTCAGACTAGAGTAGCACTGCTAGAGAAGCCCAACAGACATAAATAAAGTTTAGTTTAAATCTATCTAGATGTTAATATATAAATGCCAAGGCAGTATTGAGAAAAACACATTAAGTGTTTTATCAAACAACAAGAAGAGAAAGTGAGAGAGAGGCAGAGAAGAGAGAGACAAACAACGCAGGAGATAAAAGAGAGAAACTGTACACAGCCAGTGGTCACAGCCAGGTGACCATGTTTGGGATGCACACGTTCAAACGTATTAATAACTGAATTATTGGCAGCTTCTAAAAACAAAACACTGAAAAGTATAATATTGTATTATTGTTGTACCTTGATTTGGTGCTACATAAATAAAACTGAAGTGAAACATAAGAGAAGGATATTAATGAATCTGGTTAAGCTCATTTCAGCTTCACTTAACATGCTTGAATAAATAATTACAGACGTATACGTGTGTGTGATGTCTCCTGTAACAGCGTCCAGTCAGAGGGAAAACATTCAGGCTCACAGGGATTTCTCTTTATTTGACTTCATTATTTGAATGTTTAATATGAACATCCACCTCTGTAACAGGACACAAGACTAAATATAAAATTGGAAACTCCACTACAGATTCCCTTTAAGTGACGGCAATATTTAGAGATATCTGATGACTTTGCTGATGCATTTGCTTGTTTGTTTGTTTTTTTAAAATTATGTACATAAACAAAAATCAGGTGTTATTCTCATTTGTTGAAATTTGACCTCCAATTTTCAGGATAAATAGTTCATTTGTTTATTCAGCCTTAAGAATGTTAGAAGTTATTTATCTTCATTCTCCGCCCACTGCTCCATTCTGATGACATCATCGCGGATGTTGGTGACAGTGCTCAACGAGAGCGGCGAGACAAAGCTAGCTTACAACAAGCTGTACAGCTGACCTGTGGTTGTTGACGTGTTGCTTAGTGGGCATTTCTCTTCAGATTTAGCGAGCACTACGTGAAAGAGCAACGTGTGCAACGACTCGCGGAGCCAAACTTTGTACCACAAAGAATAATGACAGCGTGCTTTAAACCGAGGCAGTCGAGCATCCACTGCATCGCAGCCCTGAAGTCTGTGTTTGCAGCATCATCTGTGGCACTTCCTTTGTTCTGTCCCACGCTGGGTTAGGGTCTCACACAGTCAGAGTGACAGTGAGAGTTAAAAACAGTCAAATGTTTTAATGTTGTGCAGCTGTTTAAGATCATTTGTTATTGGTCCACTGATGTGGGCGTCGACAATCACTCCTCCAGCCTTACCTTTACGTCTGTCACACCACCTGCACACACGCACACACACACACACACACACTTAGTGTTCCAATTGAGATAGTTATGTGTAATCACTCTGTATAGTATATTTATGTTGTGAAGTGAATATCTGCTGCAAGATAAAGATACATTTCAGCACAAAAACGTTCTCTGCTTTATGTTGAGGTCAAATTGCTACTACTGTGGAGCTGATTCTCTTGTTTTCACTTTCTTTGTTCTGGTCTTGGTTCTCTCTTCTTTCCTGTGAGTTGAGCGTCTGTCCTGTCTTAAACTGAAGTGCTTTTCTCCTCAAAGAGAGAGTGACCAAAATCTTTTTTTGTTTTTTAAATATATTTTATTGTAACAGCATCAAACCAATAAAAAAAAATCAATGAAGTAAAGCTCGATTGGTGTGTTGGCTGTTTTTACACAACATTCATCAGCTTTGCACTAAAGGCACAGAGCGTTGTTTCACTGTGGAAATATTCCCGTCAGTTATGTTATGTTGTACAACACGAGTGACATCCTGACAGGAATGTCAGTGGTTTGAAATATACAACAGTTATACTGACAGTTCTTCCAAAGGGTAGCATGTCTTTTAAAGATGTTTTTATTTATGCATTTAAAAAATATTTTTAACCTCCCAACATCTACCAGCTGATCAGTGACCTGTCTAGGGTTTGTTTGTTAGCCACATGCTAAACAGGCAGACTAGACAAACAACATGTTTCTGTCTAAAGCTTCTGTTGGCGTTTCAAATAAAATTCTATTTAAAGGTGTAGATGTTAATTTAATCACAGACAGGTCGCCAATGATCTGGTGGATATTAAGCGATTAAGGATGCCAGAACAGAAACTGTCTTCCTCTACTGTCCAACTACATAATCTCTAAATATGCACGATTTATAAAAACATGTCAAATTCTTACTTTGATATCTGAACAGTATTTTGATCATTTCCCCTCCACATACTGAGACCGTTGTTGCTGTAGAACAAATTACACGAGCACACAGTTACTGTGGCAAATAACACGAGCCAGATACATCCGATTTCAGGCACAAACATACTCATTGCTCCACTTGTTTGTTGAGATCTGGTCAGTACAAATCTGTGTTTTACACTCCACATGTTGAACTGTACGTCTACAGTCTTACTTTATGAACATTAAACCCACATTAATAATCTGAGTGGTCCGCTGAATCTGTTCCTTTTTCTCATCTTTAATGCTAAGCTGGATTCGGAGCTATTTCCACTGAACTTGTGGGCAGGAGGAAGCAGAATGAAGCCTGGCATTTATTGTGCATGAGATTTAAACGAATGAGAGAGCAACATGTCTAAATGTGTCTAAATGGGAAATATGATTAGATAACCATCCCATATACAAAGACACTTGCTCTCTGAGCAGTGCCGTTGTCCCCACGTGCTTCAAGGCCACCACCATCGTCCCCATGCCCAAGAAGTCTTCTGTGTCCTGTCTCAATGACTACCGCCCTATCGCACATACACCCACCATCATGAAGTGCTTCGAACGGCTCGTCATGAGACACATCAAGACCCTGCTGCCCCCCTCACTGGACCCAATGCAATTTGCATACCGCCATAACCGCTCAACGGACGACGCCATCTCCACTGCACTCCATCTTGCCCTGACACACTTGGACAAGAAGGACTCACACGTCCGAATGCTGTACATAGATTTCAGCTCAGCATTTAACACGATCATCCCCCAACAACTGATCGGAAAGCTGAGCCTGTTAGGCCTGAACACCTCCCTCTGCAACTGGATCCTGGACTTTCTGACCAGAAGGCCTCAGTCAGTACGGATCGGGAACTGCACTTCCAGCACCACCACACTGAGCACTGGGGCCCCACAAGGCTGTGTGCTCAGTCCTCTGCTGTTCACACTGCTGACTCATGACTGTGTAGCAACACACAGTTCAAATCACATCATTAAATTCGCTGATGACACGACCGTGGTGGGTCTCATTAGCAAGAACGACGAGTCAGCGTACAGAGAGGAAGTGCAGAGACTAACGGACTGGTGTAAGGACAACAACCTGTCTCTGAATGTTGACAAGACAAAAGAGATGGTTGTTGACTTTAGGAGGACACGAGGCGACCACTCACCGCTGAGCATCAACGGCTCCTCTGTGGAGATCGTTGACAGCACCAAATTCCTGGGCGTACACCTGGAGAAGGATCTCGGCTGGTCCCTCAACACCAGCTCCCTGCACAAGAAAGCCCAACAGCGTCTCTTCTTTCTGAGAAGACTGAGAAAGGCCCGGCTTCCACCACCGATCCTGACCACCTTCTATAGAGGAACTATTGAGAGCATCCTGAGCGGCTGCATCACTGTCTGGTTTGGGAGCTGTGCCATATCAGACCGCAAGACCCTACAGCGGATAGTGGAAACAGCAGAGAAGATCATCGGGGTCTCTCTCCCCTCTATTGAGGACATCTACACCACACGCTGCATTCGCAAAGCCACCAGCATTGTGGCTGATCGGACACACCCCTCTCACACACTCTTTACACTCCTGCCATCTGGAAAAAGGTACCGAAGCATTCGGGCACGCACATCCAGACTGTGCAACAGCTTTTTTCCACAAGCCATCCGTCTCCTCAGCAAAAAGGGACTGACTGATAAACACGCACACACATACACACACTAACATTATCACTCAGCTTAACTCAAATACCTCAAAACATTGAGACTGGACTGACTAACCAACACAAGCGCAAACACACTGACCTACACCACCAAACCATCGCACACACCAACCTGTAAATGCTCTTTTGCACAATATTATTACTAGATATATATTATTATTATTATTTTTTTTTTTTTTTGCACTAACTTGTCTTGTAGCACCTTGGTTCCTGGAGGAACGTTGTTTCGCCTCACTGTGTATTTTTAAACTGTATATGGTTGAAGTGACAATAAAGTTGAACTTGAACTTGAACTTGGTTGTATTAGAAATTCATTATGGCAGCAGCTTCCAGTTGTTCCTGTTGTTTCCTGAATATGATGCAGAATTCCCTGGAACAGTTTTCAGGGAGGTACTTTAGATCTGCAATCACAGAAACCTGGAAAAAGCTCTAACTGACTGACAACAGGAGCACCGCGAAACACCTCCGAGCTGATGTTATTTGGGTGAAGTGAGGGTGAAGGTTACTGTGACAAAATATTTCTACAGACATTTAAACAAGTGGCCACAAACTCAAAGGTCTCCCGAGAAAAAAAACGAAACATCACTAATTTGTGTCGGATTATATGCACCTGTATATAAAAGATGGACACGCTTCCTCGTGTTTTCTGGACTCAGTATATTTTGCAGCCTGAATGTTTCGGGTGGGATCGTGCTGGTGTTCTGTGCAGGCCCGATCCACAGATATGCGCTAATTAGTGCTTAGCTGAAGACAGACTAATTAATGCGACCAAAATGGAGCACACTGCCCCACGCAGTATTTGTCAGATAACGCTGATGGGGGAGGAGTTAGCACACACCTGTTGGTTACAGGTGCCTGTCAGGAAAAGCAGCATCAGGCTGTAAACATGCTTTTTAATGCTGTCGAGTTTACGGGGACTGATTTGGATTTGGCATCGCACTTGTGCCCCTTTCTCTAATTAACAAAAGATGGAATGATAGAATCTATTGCTGCGGGTCACCTGTGGGACATTGGATTTGCTCACAGTTAAGTGTGAGGTCGTAAAACCTGCTTCTGATTTTGCACTTTGAACTGAAAAACATGGGCACATTGTTCTGGAGCAACAACAGTGAACAGAGCACATTTTTGTGTGTGGACTGCGTGTCCTGGGATTTAAAAGCCTCTTCAGTCCAACATTTGCCAGACATCAAATGAGTAAACTATCAGACGGATTCTGATGAGATCTGAGAAGAGGACAGTGACGGCATCGGGGCTTCATCTTCATCCATTTTTCAGCGTCATGACGATGATGAAGATGCGTGTGTAGATACTGAGTGTAGGTTCCACTCCATTTGTAGTTCAACAACCTGCGTTGAAATAGCAAAGTGAAAGGCATTAGCTATGACTCCCGGCTCCGTCTGACATTTAATGTTGTCTGCGTTACGGGAGTGAGAGCATGTTTGTGTACAAAAGAGAAGAGGGGGACCGAGAGGAATGAAAGGCTGAGCGAGAGAGAGCAGGTGCTGGAGTGGTTAATGGCTGACAGCATGAATGGCCAGCGCTGAATTTTTCTGATTAAGGGAATGAACTTCTGCTTTGTCTCTGCTGTCAACAATGAACGCCCGCAGCACTCCAAACCGTCCTCCTAGGCGCCTAAACATTTAATGAATCTATTCCAAACTTCCTTCTCTCTACCGGCGGCCAATTTGGAGCCATTGAAGACAACCTAGCCCTCTGGAAATATGGGGACCATCTGTTGTGTGTGTCTGCACATTCATCTTTATGAAAGACAGCTATGCGGCCTAATGCTACACGCTAAGCAGGAAATAGAGACAATGGGAGAAAAGGTAACCTGCCCCTCCTTAATTTTTGCACCCCAGCTCTCTCTATTAAATGTGGATTTTCTTCACACCATTGGAAGGAATCTCATCATCCTAAGTGAAAAATTACAGCTACTATGTTTTCTTCTGCTCTTTGTGCAACAAGCATTGAAATTACTCTAAAAACAGCATTCCACATTCTAACAGCATTATAGAGCTCTTATACTATTAAAAGATAATATCAACAAAAGCCCACTGAAGTATATGAGTCACTTCATTCAGCCAACTCAAATGTCAAATGAGGAATTTGAATGAGCATAATTGCAGATGCTTATTTCTATTTTGTTCTCAAGGCTTTTTTGAATACGCCATGTAGTGTAGTTTGAAGGCAGATAAAGAAGAAACAGGTAGGATTCGAAGCACTCCTAACACTGGAATCTGTGAAGGCACAGAGGCCACAGATGGATATTAAAACGGTAGAGGCAGCCAACAGCACGCAGTCATTTTCAGAAACCTATAGGTGATGGCATTGACCAAACTCATCTCACAAAGAGTGAATAAACGCAGCTCTGCCATCAGAGGTTCTCTGATCAGAACGATCACAGAAGTATGGAGCACCCACCATCAGGCCAGGGTTAAGGTTTCATGTGCACATAGAAACAAAGGTTTAATTACACACTCTTTCTACACGTCCGGTCAGTGTAATGGTCGGCAGACTTGTACCGACCGCTCAAGCTGCTTTAACTTTACACACCAATTACAGTTCGGGCTTCAGTATCTTGCCCAAGGACACTTAAAACTGCACACTGGAGGAACAAGGGGCAGGTTGTCCCCACATCAGGTAGTGCAGGGACAACCTGAACCAACTGATGAGCCACAGCTGTCCATAATTCTAAGCCACAAGGACAGTTGTTGGCTACTATACAACAACTGGATATTAAGTGGTCAACAATGCGATTTACTTCTCTGGTACACAGCAAAATCTCCAGTGTTAAATTAACACTAGAGAGTGTCTATATGGGTCCACACCTCTGAGTGTTAAATTAACACTTTTGACAGTGTTATATGTTTAAAAGTAACCTAGTCAGTTTTGAAGATTAACAATGACTAACACTGAGCAGTGCTGATTTTCTAACACTGGAAAATAACTCAAAATGTTAGAAATATTCCAGTGTTAGAAAATCAGCACTGCTCAGTGTTAGCCATTGTTAATCTTCAAAACTGACTAGGTTACTTTTAAACATATAACACTGTCAAAAGTGTTAATTTAACACTGGAGATTTTGCTGTGTACTGACGCCGACAATGAGCTGACAGGATTTCACAGATTTCATTTATTTTATGACCCCCTGAAATCCTGTGATTGTCTGATTTTTGCACACTGTGATACATCCAGTTTGCCCGTCTGAAATGGAGAGCACCAAGTAAGGCTTGTGAGCGAGTCCAGCAACAGACTTCAAATCAATTCAATGCAAAAATATTCATATTTTCAACAACTGCTGTTTGTTGTTTTTTTCAGAGAGGGTGTCTCTGTGTGAAGAAGAGCTCCTGCTGCTGTTTACTGTGCAGTTCAGTCACTGCTGCTCACATCAGACCAAAACAACTCGTGGCCTTTAATTCAGTCGTTCCACTTCACTGTTCACCGGCTGCCCTGCATTGCTGTGTTTGCTGTCAGTTTGTAATTATTTATTGCTGCTTCTCCTTAATTCTGACTTTCAGCTCGGTGCCACTATTTCAGCTCATCATGTTTGATACTTTCTTCTTTTCCTCACAAGTTCTCTTTGCATCATTTTCTCTGTTCTGCTGTTGAACTTGTGGTGTGAACGTAAAGCAACACATTCCCAACCAACTCAAACACAGTATCGGGGGATTTTAGCTCTGTACCTGATGGCTTGAACCCCGTCAGCTGTACCACCTGTTAACGACAAAAACACGATACATTCTTAGTCAGCAGATGTAATAGAAAACATTATGTATTGATAACGCATACACATGACTTACTTGGTTTCCGGATCCTGGGTTCAAAAAGAAACTCACAAAGCTCTCCTTTCTGAAACTCTCTGCAAGCACAAAATACACCTAATTGCATTTAAACTTTGCATTTGTCTTTGAGGACACACACAGTTGCTTATGCAAGGCCAAAGTAGTCTTATAAGCACATCACAGTACAAAGGAAGCTTTATAAAACACGGAGAGAATGAAAAATGCAAACAATTTGAATGACAAAAGAGCATTATGAGAATTTTCATGGAGAACTTTTTTCTTTTGTTTCTGCCTCTGTTTATTAACAATGAAGCGTTTAATCACTGCTTATGTCAGCAGGACAGATGGGATCAACTCATCTATGAAAAGAGCCGAGTCTGAAGCACACTATTAAAACGTATCATTCATTCAATCATCATGGCCAGGGGTCGGCAACCTTTCTGATGAGGCAAGGCAAGTTTATTTGTACAGCACAATTCAACAACAAGGTGATTCAAAGTGCTTTACAGAGACATTAGAAACAAGAACAAATAAAAAGCAGGATTTAAAATTGAATAAAACAAGCAAATAAACTAACTAACTAATTAACAAACAAACAAACAAACAACAGTATATAAAATCAAAACAGATAAAATCAGTAGTTAAATGTAAGTTTTGAAATTTAAGCTTAAAGTGTGGATTTGGTGCTTTATTCAAATGCAGCTGAGAACAGGTGAGTCTTCAACCTGGATTTAAATAAACTGAGTGTTTCAGCTGATCTGAGGCTTTCTGGGAGTTTGTTCCAGATATAAGGAGCATAAAAGCTGAATGCAGCTTCTCCGTGTCTGGTTCTGACTCTGGGAACTGATAAAAGACCGGATCCAGATGACCTGAGGGATCTGGAAGGTTCATACTGGGTCAGGAGGTCATTGATGTATTTTGGTCCTAAACCATTCAGAGCTTTATAGGCCAGCATCAGAACTTTAAAGTCTATCCTCTGACGGACAGGCAGCCAGTGTAAGGACCTCAGAGCTGGACTGATGTGGTCCACTTTTTTGGTCTTAGTGAGGACTCGAGCAGCAGAGTTCTGAATGAGCTGTAGTTGTCTGACTGATTTTTTAGGTAGACCTGTAAAGATGCTGTTACAGTAATCAAGCCTACTAAAGATGAATGCATGGACTAGTTTTTCCAGGTCCTGTTGAGACATCAGATCTTTTATCCTTGATATATTCTTGAGGTGATAGTAAGCTGACTTTGTTATTGTCTTAATGTGTTTTTGAGGAGTGCATCTAAAATTCCCCCAGAGGTCAGTGTACCATATGATTGCATTAGCAATAAATTTAATAATGCTCTATACTAACAGTTACTCACTCTATAGAACCACTTTATAGAATTGTATTTGTTCGCAGATGTTGGCAGCTGTCAGCGAACAGTTATCAGCTATATGAAACAAATCCATAACAAGAACTCCATAACAGCAAATGAAATGTACAACAGAAAATGCAAATGCTATTTATGGCCTCCTCACAACAATGATAAGAAAAATAAACTGGGCCAATATGGCATGTTTGTTAATACAGAGACACACATGTTAATGTGATCGCTGGTCTCCGAGTGTCCAGCGTTCAGAGGCTACCTGAGGACTCATGTGAGAGAAAATCTGCTCACACAGACATGTAGAGCCGAATATTGTCAATAAGGCCTCTGCAATGTTCTGAAGACAGTTAAACCTGTCAGGTAGTGACGTCCAGCAGGTGAACATGCAGCTCCATGAACACACACAGCTGTGGATTCCAGCTGTGCTCGTAGTTCTGCAAACTTTGACCCCACAGAGTCGAGCTTTTCAGTTCAATCAGCTGCATTTCGATGTCCTCTGTGTCCAACCAGTTAACGAGAGACAAATCCAGCTGCTCATTAAAGCTTTCTGGTTTGAATGGTTTGAATCTGGTAGTTGGGGTTGTTAGCTAACATACTGTCATTAAGAAGCAGCACAACTAATGTGTCTATGCGAGCTAATTTGCGATGTGCAAAGTGACAAACAAACAAGAGAGTAAAGCTGATCAGCTGATCATTGATCAGTTTCATGATTGAAGTAGCAACAGTAGAGGGAGGGGGGATATGGAGGACCACAAGAGCCTCGAAATAAAGAATTCTGTGCTTAAATAATGAATTGTACAATTCTGCATTTGTAAATTCATTTTTGAATTCCAATTTAATAAACTTCATTTCAAAAACCATTTTCGAATTGCACTTTAATATTAAGTGATTTTCAAAATGCTTCAATTTCCCTTTCCTGTTTGCTCAGGGATTAATTTTTGGATTAGCAGTTGGATTAACAACTTCATTTTAAAAATCCTGCTGCTATTCAAATTAGCCACACCGTGGGATGTAAGGAGCTCTCTGATTGGTTGGTCAGACACAGGCTGTCTGCCTGGACTTTTGTAGCTCATAGCTTCGCCCTGCTAAGAAGCGTGTGTGCTCGTGCAAAGGCCGTCCAACCTCGGGATTTACACTCGGCTCTACACGGATAAATGAAGAATGAAGGAACCCTGCAGCGAAACGGAGAGCCCAACCTCTGACTGAGTGCCTGTTTATGCAGTCTGACCACCTGTGAAGGTAACGTGCTAACATGGCTAACGCTAGCATCACCGCACGTAGCCCCGTTATTTTAAGGTCATCTTAGCTTAGCTTCTTCACAAATAAAGCTGGAAGCAGCTCAGACTGTTAGAACCAGCACTGAGGCCTGTTACATTTATACAGTGTTAGAGCAATGGCCTTTAAACTAGCGATTAAAATACTGACAGTAAACCCGTCAGTCCAGATGTTACCACATTACTTTGTGATACTTAAGAGTTAAAACAACTGAGACAGGCTGATTAAAACTGGAGATCACACTACTGGTTTCAGTTCATTTAATATGTGAGTGCACTGATTCATTCTCAACTGGACATAAACGATGATCAAAGGTTGTATGTATGAGGAATTCATCCAATCCCAGCCTCTAACACAGTGCGCTGAATCTTAGCTTTGAATGTCCAATATATTCTAATCAGTGCAATGTAAGCATTCACTGAACCCACAGTATCTACACCTGTGTGGCAAATGTGTGGTAAAGACACAGATAATGAAATTTAATTATTAATACAATATACATCATGAGAAACAAAAGCTGAAATTGATTCAGCTCAGTACTTTTCTCTGTATGCTGTGACTATAAAGGCCTTAAATTCTGTGATATATACTGTAAATGATTTTCACAGAGGTCTTAAAGTAGTTAAATCACTGCTGATAGTCTGGTTGTTCATATTTTCACGTTTTTGTGTCTGTAGGGCTGTTTGATGACGATGTGGACTCCTCTGGGACATGAGGACACACCCACATCTGTTCCATACTGCAGCCATTAGGGCTGCCACGATTAGTCGACTAGTCACGATTACGTCGACTATCAAAATCGTCGACGACTGATTTAATAGTCGAAGCTTCGTTTGAAGCTTTGTAAGATCACAAAAGACGCAGGAATAAGTAGCAGGATTTAAGAGTGTAATAACGGACTGAAACAGAAGATGGCAGCACTGCATGTACAAGGATGCCAGCTGCCGTTAAACCCCGAAGAAGAACAAGCTGTGTCCCAGAATTCATAGCGCAGCCCAGCTCAGTTTCCAACAATGGCGGCAGCTAGTTAGTTTTAATATTACTCTTATTATTCTTTCTGGGTCACAAAATAAACGTTTAACATATTTTCAGGCGAGAATGTAGCTGTGTAAACCTCAAATATCTGCTCAGTTTATCAGGACACCACATATTTTCAAAAGCGCTCCGACGTTTTCGGAGACATCTGTTACCCACTAGCTCGTTAGCGAGCCGGGGGCAAGGCTAACTAGAGCCGTGAGAACACCGGACTCCCGGCCGTCACTTAGATAACTTTAAAATGTTATTGTTTGGCTTTTTTTTTTAGTATTTTATTTGTTCCTGAGTAAATCAGTAGGGCTGAGATTAAAGTTATAGTTTTTACTCAGCTGAATAAACATCAAACAGACAGCTGATCATCAGAAGTGTGAGATGCTCCAGAATTTACTCCGGTGTCCTGTTATATTTTAGATAGCAAGGAGTTTATTAAACTTCACCGAAACAATCTGCAAGTTTAATTAAAATTTAATAAACTATCATCTTGTCTTTATTTTTAGTTAGCACAGACCTTAAACACTTAAAGCTGTAAGCTAATGATAGTTATATGAGCAGATGCTGCTGGTGCAATAAGCTGTAGTTTTACGTCCAATGGATGATGATCTGATTAGTCGACTAATCGCAAAAATAATCGGTGACTAGTCGACTATCAGAATAATCGTTTGTGGCAGCCCTAGCAGCCATTGATGCTGTTACGGGTGTGAGTCAGCTTTGGGGCCTCAGACGCACACACTGGAAAACCAGCACCTGGACTTCATGCAGGAGAGACTGCATGAAGTTTTTATCTGATGTCAAATGTATAGAAATCATACATATACCAACAAGACTGTACATCACTGTCACCACAGCGTTTGTTTTCATTCAAAGGCTTCATGGCTTTAATACCTGGGGGGCCGGTCTCTAGGCCGATGTTCTGTCCCAGTCCAGCCCTGCGCACGACACGCAGTGAATTAATCTGAGAAGGTGCTTTAAAAAATAAATGGCCGGGCCAGCGCTGCACATCGCAAATTAGCTCGCATAGACACATTAGTTATGCCGCTTCTTAATGACGGTATCTTAGCTAACAACCCCAACTACCAGATTCAACTTGTAATTGGCTAAAAATAACTTCGCCTACCGGTGAGAGGGACGTTGCTAGCTGACAGTTTTTTCAAGTGATGTTGAAATTTCCACGTTCCAACACTTCAAATGCTTCAGCAGCTGTTCGCTCAGCGCAGCATCAGCACTGCGGAAATACACGGATACATCCGTAGACTCGAGACAGATAAAACCAGAAAGCTTTAATGAGCAGCTGGATTTGTCTCGCATTAACTGGCTGGACACAGAGGACATGCGCGTGGCTCTTGTGGTCCTCCATAGGGGGAGAGAATGAGAGGAGAAGAAACAGCTGTGCAGCAAAGACACAGAATAAATCCAGCTTTGCGTCTTTTTCCATTGTAGCTGAAGTCCGGGACAAACTGTGTTCCTTTTCAGCTCAATACGAAACGCGTAATATTTTCTCTGAATACGAGACAGGTTGGCAACTCTAATAACTAACCTTATGAATAAAATAAAGTTCACTATCAGTAACATCATAGCACCACCCAGCTGTATAGAAACTCTGTCATGCTAGCTCACGCAGTACGAGTTATTGTAACTGACTGTAAAAAGTCAGCACAACGAAAATAAACTCCAGCTAAACTTGGTTTATATCTGACCCAGATAGACTGCAGGTCATAACTTCTCACCTGAAGTTCAGTTCACCTGACACTCGGACCGGCAGCCGCCCCGGGTCTCTCCTCCTCCTGCCTCCCCTTTCCCTCATCCACCTGCTGGCCTCTGTGGAAGCTCCGCCACAGCCACCACCAAATAACTGAGTTATTTTTCACATCGGCCTGCATCTGCCCAATCCACCACCTTTTGTTTATACCGTTACAAAACAAAAAAAATCATCGGCCCATAAAAACGAAAAATCACGGCCAGTCCAACTATGGTCGTGCCATCAGTTAACCCTTCGCGTGCCCAGGGTTGCCGACCCCCGATCATGGCTAATGACTTCTGAGGGAAGTCTTGTTCAGAGATGACGATCTTTCAGTGACCTGAAATATGGAGAATAGATTTTTCTTGTTTTTAATGACCTGCTGAAGGTTGGTCCAGCATCCCTGTCAGGACTGTTTGAAAGTGTTGTTTTAGATGATTTACATCACAAACATTACAGAACATATTCTTTGGCACTGATATAGTGATGCAGCTGTCACAGCAATGTGAGCAGTTGTCTTTTAACCCAACATGTTCATAAATGATGCTGACTCAGTGCATTTAAATACGCCGCTGAGGTGTCCTTCACAAACATCGACGTAACAATCTGGGCAAGAGACTCAGCGTTTCACATCACAGACAGCTCGTCATCTCTAATAGAATATTTGAAGCAAACATGCTGTGTTTCTTGACCTTAACTCAAGTTAGTTTTTATTTATATAGCTCAATTTCCAAACAACAACCATCTCAATCATCATAGCAGGGAGGAAGAACTCCACTGAACCAAGCACATAAGGAAGTTATCATGCTTCTACAGGTTGATGGTCCCCTGATTTAGCCCTAACAGGGGACCATGTTAGGGATTGGGTTAGCTGACCAGAGGGGCCGATGGCGCGATATGGCAGCCTCGCTTCTGTCAGTCTGCCCCAGGGCAGCTGTGGCTACAACTGTAGCTGCCTCCACCAGTGTGTGAATGTGAGAGTGAATGAATAGTGGAATTGTAAAGCGCTTTTCGGGGCCCTCAAAGCGCTATATAAATGCAATCCATTATCATTATAACAATAAGTTCTATGATAACAAACTCACTCATATTCACGCCTGGATGAGTTTTCCAGAATCATTTTGATATGAAATGTTTCTAAATGTCACAGTGTTGTTACTGAGTTTGTGCCTTCGTCCAAATACTGAACTAAGTCACCTGACTAACCTTCTAGTTTGCTTAATGTGTGCATTAAAGTACATATCTTGGTTATAAATCAGACTCCATGGTTCTCACTATTCTTCTAGAGGTGAAAAATAACTCGTGCAAGACTTTTTGTCTTCAAAACATGCCTTTAGTTTAACTGAAGGATTTGCAGATAAATATAACTGCACCACAATAATACTTCATTCAATGTTTTCTTATGATAATATTCACAATGGCCAAAAGTCAGTTGATGATGGCTGCATCACATCCACAGCATCTGATAAGTCTGAAGGATGGCTGATTTATTATAGTTCCCACAATAACAGTTTTTGTAACTCACAAAGACTCATAACACTGAAGCTGGATCAAGGTGATGTTTTCTTGCTGTCTCCAGAGGAGGCAGCCGCTGTGTAGTGTTCACAGAAACATCATTCAGCTACACTGCAGTGGGATTGCTTCATCAGATAGGGTCATAATCAGATTCATTTTGTGTTTTGCATTGGGTGATAAACCTGTTGAGTCATAAATGTATAAAGTGTGATCAAACATTATCATAAAAAAACTTTTTAATCAGCCAAAGCCCAACAATAAGACGATTATGGTGATTGTGAGGCAAATATACAGGCGGGTCTATGTGCATTTAGATAACCAGGGCTACAGAACCTGAAAACATGTAGATGCTAATAATCACTGTCTGTTTCATGGAGTTTGCAAAAAGTTTTTTTGAGATTGCTCCGCCCACCTCACCCACCTCCCTATTCAGTTTTGTTCTCAGTGTTGGGGTGAGAGCAGGCTGGGCAGTTTGCTCTGGGTCATTACTTATTGCACTGTACATCTGACCAGTGCTGCAGCGTTTGGCTGAATCTGAGCCTTCTTCTAACAGCAGACACATGATCAGTAAACTCCAATCAGTGTTCTTAACAAAATGTGTGATATTTGAGTGAGGAGCACATCACGTCAGCTCACCGTTCTTGATGACCATGGATGTGGAAGTAGTGCCGGCAGGTACAGACGTCTCACTGGTCTCAGGGCTGGAGGTCGTCGGTAGGCTGTGGCCCCAGGAAGTGATCGGGGTCCTCTGAGAAGGTAGGAAGCTGGTTGGCTGGGAGCAGTTCTGCCAAAACATCACAATCCAGTCCATATTTCAGTCCACTTTTCTGAAGAGGGAATTTATTTTCTGTCCCGATGGATCCTTCTGCCCACTCACCGTGAAAGATAAGGCCTTTCTCTTTTCTTTGATCCTCTTTATGGCATTCCTCACCTAAATGAGAAGCAGTCTTTACACCCACTGATTTGTCCAAAAGGCTTGCAGCCTCACATAATGCACAAGGATGTGCTCTGATTTTGCAGGACAAAAGCTGGACTGAATGCATTTACCTCACTGTTGTAAACAGCATAGACTAAGAAGATGTACAGACCCTGTGGAGAGAAGAGAGGTGCACTAAGAAGCACGTATGAAGACAGAAAAGAATCATCTCCATTCATACTGACTATATGGATTTCACTGCTCTGTTTTGTAACCTCGCTCAAACAAAGCTTTCATACTGTGGTACCGTCATTCGATGTGGTTTTCTACTCCTGACAAGAGCTGCAGTTAGAGTCAGCAAATTTCAGCTTCAGCTCAACTGAACGCAATACTACAAATTTTAGAGCTGCATTTCATGGCTCCCCAAAAAGCTGATTCTGTTCATGTGGACGTAGAAACGATTCATCACTCATCCAAGTGACTTCATCAGTCTCAGCTGCAGGTTTCCTCAACCTGATAATCAGAGCACTGTTCATTGATCAGTGCCCATGAGTACCATTCACAGAGAGTTGGAAAGTAATCAGATGTTGTGCTAATAATGTAACAATAGGGTAAAATATAATAATTACATGTAAAATACTTAAGGCTGTATAGAAATACTTACTGAGATGTGTGACCACTAACCATGTCATATATTAACTTGTCCAAGTGACCCCAGTCACATAGCCCTAGATTGTCAGTGACAGCTGGTCACCACCTGTGTATTACCCAGCTGGCACAACCCTTTTTGTGATTGCTTTGGTTGCTCCAATAGTGCTGCAATTGTAGTTTGAATGGAAGTGATGGACTCTACAAACACTGTCCAGGTTCTCTCAGTCGTAGTGAAACTTTGAAAAATGTGACACAAACTGGAAATGGAGATTAATCGCCTTCAAAGTAAAAGCTGTATCTTCTGAAAAATGGCTGCAAAGGCAAAGCTTCTCCATCTCCAGTCTGTGCCACACTTTTTCAGTTGCATTGCTGCTCAGCTAGTGTTTGCAGACAAACATGCATCTATGGGGAATGAGCCAGCAATCAGAACAATACCTATGAAGGTTTTTACTGCAGCAGCTTGCTTTCACCCAGCAAAGACAGCACCCTCCAGAAACCACTGCCAAGCAGTAACCAGTATTAGTATCACATCCACTATGGCAGACAACTACTGATGATGTGATGTGAGAACTGAACAGGCTGGATTCACAGATTTTGAATTCTGTCAGAATGAGGCTGTCAGACGCCCAAATCAGAAATAAAATAAAATCCTCAGCAAAGAATTCCTCTTCTTCATAATAACTCCACTTTATAAGCATTTTGAATGTAAGCATTCATCCTGTGTGCAACACACCCACCACCCCTCCTCTTCAAATATCCAGCCTTGCGTGTCTCTTACTTTGTCTGAGCTCACAGACTCATTTCTAATTGCGTCCCTTATTACTCCCAAAGACAATGTTAGCATCTCCCATCTTTTTGTTGTGCAACTCTGTCTAAACCAGACGTTGACTGATCTCACTAGCATGTTGTGACGCTCTCCTTGCACTCTTCCTCCACCTTCATTACCTCTGCTTCTTGCATCTTCACCGTTACACCTGTTGCCTTCCCATTCACACATATATATCCTGTCTTCTGCTCTCGACATACATTCCCCTTCTCTACAGAGCATACCTCCACATTTCCAGGTTTCCCCCACCTGCTCCCTACTCTCACTGCAGATCAGTGTTGTCTAATAACATCATTATCACAAAGAGTCTCCTGCCTGACCTCATCTGTCAGCTTGTCCAGCAACATTTAATCTTTTCCCTCACTTGCTGCTTCTTCTTTAATCCTAAAGGTACGCTAACGACTGTGCTGATAGCACCTTGCAGTCTCCTGCACCTTCTTCAGGATGTAGTACACCTGTGGGCACCTTCCTCCTCTCTTATATTTCACTCTGTGAGTTCAGCACAGCCCTTCCAATCCTTGTCAGGAAGTCCACTACCATCTATCCTTCCACATTCCTTTTCCTAATGCCAAACCTACTCAACACCTTGTCATCACCTTCGCTCTGTTCACCTTTATACCAACTGTTGTGTGCTCCAATTACAACTCCAATTAGACAGCAGTAACACAGTATCAGCTGGCAACGTGTTAGCCAAACCACTGCAGGTGTTCGTTGCTAACCTGGGCCTGTTTGATTTGCCCTTTCTGATGCAAACCTCCCAGTTTCTCCAGGCCTGGGACCAGCATTGAGAGTACACTGGTTTGTGGTTCCCCATGGCTGGCTTCTGTTATGCTAGGTCTTTATTATTGTTAATATTTTGTTTCTTGTTAAATTATTGCCTTTGTGTGTATAAATAAGCATGTTCTGTGTGACATAGCTCTTACTAAAGCCTCTGTGTTCTTACTAGTATTTTAAGTACATATGTCCAACATGTCTTTAGTTCTTAATTCTTTTGATTATGAAAACAAATGTAATTTTACTAAAAATTAAAAATATATTTTTTTCATTATTAAGTTACTTTTGTTCTCGGGTCATAGTTAAAAACTACAGTGTGTAAAATGAATGATAAATGTAAACAGATGTCGTGAAACATTTAAATACTGCAGTCAGTTCATTGTATGATTAATAGGTAACTGGCTTGAATGGTTCAACTACTGAACTGGACAGTGTGTGAACATTTATTAATTCATCAGCGTTATTTGTTTTCCAACACATGTTGTGTCTTTTCCTGGAGTAACACTTTTAATTTCAGACTTTGCTGAAGGTGCAGAAGACATGCAGTCTCATAAATGCTCATGTAAATACAAAGAGATGGGACTATAGTAGCTATGCTGTACTATAGCTACTGTACCCCCCTCCACCATAACCTGCAGTGTGTCTAACCTCAAATGATATGTTATTATTCTTTCTCTCTACACCCTTGTTTTTTCTTTTTGTGGAAAGAAGAAGAAGACAGGCTGGCCCAGCATCCTCCTCCTACCTACATGAGGAAAAACTCCTACTGTAGTGTTATCTGCCCTCAGCTGGACACTGGCAGTAAATCTAAATTAACTAGCAGCTCTCTGAGGGTCACCCAGGGGCTAGCTCATTTTGATTAATTAAAGACCTGGGAAGGGCAAAGAGGGGTGGGAGGTTTAGGAAAGGACAAGAGAAGAAGGAAGGAGGCAGAGAGGGAGAGATGCACAGAAAGCTACAAGAATAACAGAGCCAGTGTGTGGAAAGAGGGACGTAAGGATGAATGTGAGAGAGGAACTGAGTCCTGTGTTATCAGGAGAGCTCGAAGTAGATGTGGTATGACCTGTGGTTCAAAGTACTGACTGCCACCTCCCACACACACACACACGCACACGCACATAAACAGAACACAAAGACATATTAAAGTATTTTGTGGTGAACTGCTGCAGCTTGGCGGTGGTGCACTTTTAGAGCTCAAGTCAGTGATGTCACTTCCTGCATCGTCATGTTTCTATCAGATAAACAAAACTTGTCTTCTGTCAGCACTCAGATATATGAACATCTGCCAAAAGTTCTTCAAACCAACTACTTATTGAAGTTCAGTGATATAGGAGGTGTCTCCAGCATCTCTCTCACACACACACACACACACACACACACACACACACACACACACACACACACACACACACACACACACACACACACACACACACACACAACAGCAGATATCACAGCAAAAAATAAAAAATCATATTACTGCTAAAATACTGATACTAATGACTACTGAGAGAAAGTTGTTCATTGTGACCTGGTGAATGTTGAAAGATTAAAATATACCCATATGGAAAAGATATTTATAGGTCTTATAAAGTTTGTATCTGTCTTGTGTGAAACTTGTATGAAAAGCATACAAGAATGAAAACAGATATAAGATCCCTTGAAAAATGATATAAATGAAACTTGTATGTTTTGGATATTTACTAAAACAATATATGAAAGTGGCCACTTTCATGAGTGAATCATATCAGCCTTATATGAGTCACTATATGAAGAAGGCCACATCTGATGCAAGTCTTTTATAAGTTTATTCTATTTCTTTTCCATATGGGGAGCAACTCAGTGGCACCATGATCCTGTATGCACTGTTTTTATGTATTTATTTTTTCCATGCATCTCGAAAACTACTCTGTTAAACAACGCTGCAGATGCTTTACATTCTGTAAAGGCCTGTGCTGGAGATGTGTCTGTGGCTGCATTCTCTTATGAAAGCTGGTATTTGAGGTATAACTGGGGTTAATCTTATTAGATATAAGTCCCTGTAGCAGTAATGAAGAAATGGAGCCTGCAATGCTGTTTTTTCTTCTTTCTCCCATAGTGTGGATGTTTTCTGTCTCCTTACAACCTTCTTCTCTTTTCCCTTCTCTTCCCTTTACTCCTAATGGCTGCTCCACCATTAGCCTGGTTCTGCCGGATGTTTTTTCCTGGTGCTTGCTCATAGGTAATTATCTGATTGTTGGTGTGTCTCCCTAATTTTGTTGAGTCATGAATTGGCTTGAACTGAAAGGCAGCCTGATTGCTCATCTCTGTTGCAGGTACTTGTTGGCTTTGGTTGGCATACAGTCAGTTTTAATGCCATACTGCTTTTTATTGCTACAAACTGTGTGTTAGGTTATTGTCTAAATGACTGAAGAATGTACGTATAAGGACATCACTGTATCAATAATGTGATTGTAATGTGATTTCACATTACACAATACTTCTGATATTACATACGTATGCTGTCTTTGGGAGTAGTGTTAAAAAGATGGCATACATTGTCATTGCTATGCAGATCATATCCAGCTTTATTTATTCAGACATGTCTGCAGTAATCATGTTATCGCCTGGATTTCAGTCCCGCCTTCAATAGAAGGTTATTCTCATTAGATCCCCGCCTGCTTATGAGTCTGCATGTGGCGTTCTCATTTATCATCAAACCTGACAATCGCCCTAAAACTCCTTCACTTCATGCAGAACACTGCAGGCTTACATGTGCTTCCTACAGTTTCCTAAAGTACAATGAGAGGCTTCAGCTATCAGGCCCCTCTACTATGGAACCAGCCCCCAGTTTGAATTATAGTTGTATTATTGTTCATGAATACAAGTGAATTGAATTGAGTTGAATTGGATTTGAACTTTAGGATTAAAATGAGTCTTTTTGATCAAGCTTATAATTGAAGTGAAACTGAATCCCCTGGTGTGGTGCAATAGACTTCTGAGAGGCTTCCCATGATGCACTGAGCATTTCTTCTTCACTCATCACTTTTCAGGCTCTGTGTGTTTATACACCACTACTGTACTGAATTTTAATAGAGGTGGTATTCTCCAGAGGTGGGACCAAGTCATTGTTTTGCAAGTCTCAAGTAAGTCTCAAGTCTTTATCCTCAAGTCTCAAGTCAAGTCTCAAGTAATGTCAGGCAAGTCAGAGTCGAGTCTCAAGTCACTGGTGTAAAAGTCCGAGTCAAGTCACAAGTCTGAAACTTTGAATTTCAAGTCCTTTCGAGTCTTTAAAAAAAACAAAACGAAAAAATAATGTTGCAGTTATGCTAAATGTAAATATTAGACCATGTAATTTTAAAATCTGTGTTTTTCTCAACACATGACAAAATAGTGAACGTAGAAAATATACACAAATTGTGAAATTGCACCTCTTTAAAATGCAGCTCAATTAAACCTAGCTCCAAGAATAATTTTCACCGACAGTTCTGAGATAAGCTGCATGTTATTCTTGGATGCGGTTGTAGGACCAGCTTTAAAATCGCATGACAAAAATATCATACACATTAAAAAAAACTGTATCACCAACGTAGCCTGGACAACATTTGCTAGTTAGATGAAGTCAGCTATCTCATCGTAGCATATTTATATGCATATTTATAATCATACGGTTCTTGGAGTGAGTGCACACACTCATGAAGTTTAGTAACTTCAGGTCACTGCAACAAGCCCAGGTACAGTTTACCGACGGATGGGTGCAGGACCTTGAAATGCACCGTGTAGAAAGTAAAGACCATCGTACGTATCATAAGTTTACCAGTCTCACAAATCGTCGTCATAAATACACATTCCTTAACCGTTTATTAATAGGACCTTTGAGCTCAACGGTAATTAATTAGCAGTGGAAATAATTTCTGGTTCATCACAGAAATGTAGCAGTGACAATAATATTGTATGCTGTAATCGTACTGGGCAATTAGTGATACAAAAAACCTGTTTTATCCTGTGAATAAAAGTATATGTTTTTGTCAGTGTACCATAATAACAGAAGCGAAACGCAATATTGTGTCAGGACAATTCACTATTTATGCACAATAAACAAAGGAGCATAGCGCCACAATTTCTGTTCAACGACAGACTTGCTTGTAACCTATATCACCAATTATGTTATGAAAATGACGTATTAACTACTAAAAAACACTGACCTTCGTGTAAATGCTTGGAGCAGACTAACCTGTGAGCTGGAGTGTTCTGGGACGTTATATTTGATCTTTGAATGGCTGCAATCCAGGCCATCCGTTGCATCTTTGTTACTTCGGAAACATGGCTCGAACAATTTCTCTTCCACGACGTAATCCGATAACAACCGATCTCTTTACCCGTCGGCTTCCCGTGGCTGTCATGCGACCGGCTATTGCAGTTAATAATACAACAGCTTCTTGACATTTTTGTGTTTCTTTTTATCGCTGTGTGACTGATTTCAATTGAAAGCCTGCGTGCGCTAGTACCGCTTGCCACGAGTTCCCAGAATCCTTTGCGGTTCTACCCGTGAATGACGTCACATTTTCAATCTCTATATAATATGCATGTTAAATTTTATATTTGGGGTGAAATATCAAGTCTTTTCAAGTAAACCGGTTCAAGTCCAATTCAAGTCCCAAGTCATTGGTGTAAAAGTCCAAGTCAAGTCACAAGTCTTAGAACATTTTTTCAAGTCAAGTCTAAAGTCATAAAATTAATGACTCGAGTCTGACTCGAGTCCAAGTCATGTGACTCGAGTCCACACCTCTGGTATTCTCCGCTGTTGTGCTGGTTACACTAACATGTATCGTCACAACATCACAGCACTGGATACACTTCACTATGCAGCTGCTAACCAAGAAGGTGGAGGAAGACTGAACCACTGGAAGAGGCTGGGGTTCTTTGTTTCCCTCTTTACAACAAAAGTGCAAAATGCTTTAAACCTTTTTTAATACATTTCATCATTTTAACAATAAACCTTTTTGACAAAAGTAACCAAGTAATTGATTGCTTGAATACCTAATTCAACCCATTCAAGTGAAAAGGCCGCCCGAATGAGCCAATGGGAGATTCTTAAACATTTATTGGGTGTTCAAAGACTTTCCACGCTACACAACACATTCACCAATTCACGAACACATCCATATTGCACTTTATTCTATGCACTTTTTAAATTTTTTGAATCACACCCACTCACTGACTGATGCACCTGGAGCTACTCTCAGTATAGAATTGTTCCCTTGAAAAGCCGAGGTTCAAAGCACTGACATTCCAGTTGGTAGATAACCCCCAATACATAAGCAACTGTAATGTTGCAGTAATTATGATTAATAAAACACAAATGTTACTTTTCACAAGACAGTCTACAGTTACACCTCTGCTTTCTAACCATACAAAACAACCAATACTTGTTATTGTCTCTTTGTTGTATCATTTGAAGTATGCGGTTATCTGAGAGCATCTCATTGGGCAGTTACCTTCAGGGAGTCCTCTGTGCTGTTTGGTCCAAAGACCTCTGTGGTGTGTTTTATTAATGTTTCATCACGCTGAGCTTGTGTATTATATGTTTCTGTATGCCATTTACTCATTTAAGAGCCTCTCCTGTAGATGACATGTGCACGTCATAAAGCCAGAAGTGTGGCTTTTGGCATCAAAAGTCTAAATGAATGATGTAATTTGAATTCTCCTCTCTGAGTAAATGAAGAAGAAAGATTATATATCACATCGACACATTGTGTTCATTTAGACTCTAAATGAACACAATTCAGCTGCTGTTTTGTTTCCTTTTGCAAGTAACCACTAATATTACAGCAATATGCAAAGAGCTGGGGCTTTGCTTACCTGGAAGGAGTTGAGAGCAATGAAAATATAGGCAACTACCACAGACAGATGGACAAGCACGCCACACAGCCAGGTCAGACCCAGGACAGGCAGCAGGATCAGAACTGGACGGGTCACAGCCCTGCAAGCACACATGTACATCCATGAACACCGGGTGTGTGCAAAGATGAGCTCGAGGTCTCACACCTATGAAAGAAAATTCACCTTGTGTTGATTCCTGAGTACTTTTCTTTCTCTTTGTTAACCCTGTTATAAAACTTGAGGACAGACAGAAGGAACAAGCAGAGCGGAGTTTTCAAGTTATTTTGATGACATTTTCTTCTCAGATATTTCCTCCTTGAATTCTCATCAAAGATCTCTCCATAGCTAAAGATTTTACCGCCTACCACAGTCATGCTCCTGTTCCTTTGCAATCTTTCTTTCAATGATCCCGGTGCTTATACGGCCAATAACCATTTCGTGGGGCAAGGCAGAAGAGGTTGCCTTTGTTCAAACCACTATTGTTGTCACACTGCTGCACCTGGGTAGAGAGATTGAGTTTTCAGACTACACTGTGTCTGCAAGGACAAAGCCAACACTCTCTTCCCTTTTATTTTTGAAAGTCGTTTTCCCTCTAATCTCTTCAATTGACGTAACACCCCTCTCGCTCTCGCTGTCTCTTCGTTCCCTCACAAACAGACTGAAACAGCTTTGGGCTGAGATAAAAAGGAAGAGAGCTGCTTGATGCTGGGTTGAAGCATTTTGTTTACCTGAATCTGAAATTATCATCAGGTAAAATATGTGAGATCCCAGTTTCTCCTTCAGACAGCAAGACTTTCTAATTGTAATATTTTGACCTGTGCATTATCCTCTGACAAGCACATTACTGAAGAATGCCCACACATTCTACATATAAAATATCTACAGGTACATGTAGATGTGCATTAAATAATAATTTCTTCCCTACCTGTAATGATTTTAACATCTTAACCACTTTTTAAAGAATATCTGCTTAATTGGAAGCAGAAAACTAACATTTATAGGATGTAATGGGAAATATATTTGCACGGTTTAAAAAAGTAACGTTTATTTGGGCCTAAAACAAAAGACACACCTTAAACCGGTCGATGATGAAAGAGTGGATATTAAGGGGGTAAACATCAAATGGTTTGGATTCATTTTGTCCAGAAAATGAAAACTCGACTGTGTCTGAAATAATATTTATGTAAAAAACAACAAAAACTCACCACAGATCTGCATTTTAACAGGAAAAGAAAAAAGCATATCGTAGCAGAGCTACTAAGTTTAACTGTAGCACTGCAACAGAACTGGGTGGAAGTCGTGTTTGCTGCTCAGCATTTGGAAGACTAATACATTTTTACATGTATGTAATTAACAGTTAGTGTAGCAGGACAACAACACTTTGTTGTTTCTGCCACAACTTTAAGGGCAACAATGACTGTTACATAAAACGAACAAACACCGTACTGTACGACATCTACAGAGAGCGTTTGGCTGTCCTCTTCCTCTGTGCCTCTTCCAATCCTGGTGGGGAACTCATTTTTTCAGGTATCCTAATTTTAAGAGGACTTGATAGGAACAGAAATGCTAAATAGGAGAAGGGAACAATCCGGTCCTTTAATGTGAGGAGAAATTCTAAAGAAAAGTGCTTTAAAGAATAACAGTTGTAGCAAAGTTGTAGCAACCGCACGCACACACACACACACACACGCACGCGCGCACGCACGCACGCACGCACACACACACACACACACACAGAAACAATTGTGCAGGGCCCAGGTGTTAAGCTGATAAGCACTTACAACTCCCACAGTAAACTCCCCGTCTCTCACACTGTCTCTATTCATCATGGGTTGCTCAACCAAAAAGAAAATAGCAAGCTTGTGTGTATCTGTGTGAAGAGAGAGAGAGGCAGAGCGAGTTTGGCCAGACAACAGAAGAAAAAAAATCGTAGGAGAGCACAGAAAAAGCAGGAGGAGAGGGAGTGACAGAGAGTGCTACAAACTTTATTGTATCTCACCAGGTAAGGTCATAGGTTTGCATCTTTGATGCTGAGCTTGGACTGAGCATCTTAGCACGGCGACGAGCGCTGGAAACAGTCACCATGACAACCCGACACAGCACAACCGCATTGACCTGCAGGCAGAGGACAACAGCATCAACACGGCCTCCGGCAAACACAAGACGTGCCACTGCAGAACCACTTGGCCTCCAGCTCACATGAGGAGGAGGGAGATGTTCCCCTTCTGCTCAGGCTGCAGGAAATCAAATCACAGCAAACAGCATTCAGTGAATGCAGTGTACGTGATTTCAGTTTGCACAGCTCCTCGCCTCTGTCAGGTGGAGGGAACAGAATATACAAATTAAGGAAACACTCACTGTTATGATTCTGCAACAAATCCAGAATGACCTGATACTCTCATTAAGACATCCAGGTATTTGTTTATATATTTGTATTTCTATTAGTAAAATTTACCGTATGAATAGGCAAACCAAATAAATGCATTTTGTCATAAAGCATTTTTAATAATCTTTTAAAAATATAAAATTTGCATTTTTTGCCCCCACATTTGAGTAGCAGGTTCTTTGCAGCTCCTTGTTGATGCATTGTGATGTCATTTTTGTCTACTCTCCAGTTTGTGTTTGGTTTGGTGACTCTGTGTTTCCCTCCCTGAGCCTGGATCTGTTGAAGTCTTCCCATTAAAAGCGGGTTCTTCCTTCCCACTGTCTCATAGGGAATCATTTGATCTTTTGGATGATAATATTCTCCTCTAATATTGCGGTGTTTTAACCTTATAAAATGAAGTGATTGAAAAGAATGGGAACTTATATGTAACACATTTAAATATTCTTAAAAAACATAAAAAACACCACACAAACAGACACATAAGACAAAGTGTAAAGTCTCTTCATCAGGATATAAGTGGCTACAAATAAAAATGTTATTTTTTGTAAACTTTCTTTTCAATCTCACATCACTTGAACCTTCTACTGTTAAAAACGACTCTGTTAGTAACAATAGATGATCTCTAATTTTTTAGTATAAGGATAGTTACTTATGTGGTTACTGTTGGCTTAATTATGGCAACAGCATTCTGTCAGATTATGTCTAAGATTTATTACATCATGGTGATGGTGGTGGTCAGAGGGCCCGGTGGTGCCAGTGTCCGGCAGCCTCGCCTCTGTCAGTGCGCCCCAGGGTGGCTGTGGCTACAATGTAGCTGCCATCACCAGTGTGTGAATGTGTGTGTGGATGGGTGGATGACTGAATGTAGTGTGAAGCGCTTTGGGGTCCTTAAGGACTAGAAAAGCGCTATACAAATGCAGGCCATTTACCATCTATAAACTTTCATGAAATTTGGAACAAAATGTGCGACATGAAATTTTGTTTGCTTGGCCAATAAAGATACTGAATAGAATGAAAATCAGGGACAGATACAGCAAAAATAAGATTACATACTGTCAAGACAAATATCACAGGTCCCACAAAGGCCCAGATTGTATCGGTCTTCACATTGAGCCAGCAATGATCGTCTGCTTTGTATTTGTCCATGGATATCACCAGGGTTACCCCAACAACCAGAACAGGCACACCTGAAAACAGTTTAATAACAGAACAACTGCATATCAAATAATACTATGAGTTATAGTTATAGTTCTATATTTTTACTTCATTTACAGTTTTTTGTGCTTATTAAATTGGTTTTGGGATTTTTGTCTCAGTTTGGTGTGGTATATTACATTATTAGTATGTTAGTGTTCGGTTTTTAAATACATCATTTTTATTATAATGTGTGCATTTTTCAAGGAAATTTTATAAGAAGTTATAAAAGACACAACAGATGTCACGTCTCATCCTCAATGTGCGCCAACGCTCTCTCACGCCAGTTCTTCACACAAAGACCAAATCCAAAGATATTTCCTCTAATTTTAAATTATTTACTTTTGTAATTCCATAATATGAAAGTTTTGTTTCTAAAGTTCTGTTTTTACTTGTAGTTTTTAGTTTATCATGCTGAACTATACCAGCCTTGCTGTGCTGGTGTCACAGAGGCGACACGTTTAAAGACGTTGCTTCAACAGAGGAGCGCTATGAAGCCTGTCCCACTGAATGTCTCCTCTGAAGGGTAACTCTGCACATCTGCATGGAGAGATGAGAGGAACACCTGAAAACTGTTTGTGCTTCACTTCTCATCATATGACAAAACACGCAGACTCACAGATGGATCTGGGAAGTTTGAAAGTCAGGTGCAGGAAACTTGTTTTGTTTGGTTTGTTTGCTATTTAGTAGGAATCATGTCTAGAATATAAAAGAGTTCATCTGCAGTTTGACTGATTAACTACTGTAAGCATGTGTAACATGTGGCTTTAGACAACATCAGGGCTCGCCATCATTCTGCTTCTGCACATCTTTCACAGTTTCACTGGCCACCAGTACCAGCTGAGCCAAGCTACAGATCAAAACACAGTTTGGTTGTTGGATGACTTCTGTGCCGTAGTGGTATCTAGTGACAGCAGACATGAGCACATGTTTGAAAGGAATGAAAGTTGGACAAAGAAACATAAGCAGAACTACTTAGTGGCCACTATGTGCTACAGTGACGTCTACATTTTACACTTTTAATGTAGCAGCTAGTTAACTCAGTCTTCTTCCCAATCATTGTCTTATTCTTGTAGCAGCTGAACTACGTAATGTAGCTTTAAAAGTGACCTTGTCAGGGATTTGTGAACGCACAGAAACAATAAACGTGTACTCTCTCTGTGGTTAGATTATCTGTATCCTTTGAGGAACCACTTTATAGACAGAATAATTTGACACTGTTGTTAAAGCAGCTGTACCTATTTTTGTTGTTAATACAAATTTCGTCAAAATGTCATTCAGACTGCTGAAAGACTGTGACGGACTTTGCAGTTATTACATTTAAATAATGCACAAATAGCCCAAAAGGTGAGTTTGTAAGGAGAGCCAACCAAACCAAAACTAACTGTCTGTTTAACATACACGACCATTCTTGTTGTATTTATGCTGCTAAATGTTGTTTATGCTACACTGAGCCCACTCAACAAAGTGAACACTTTACTATCATTAAGGCCACTTTGGTGAATATTAGTGATGTGCACAAAAGCATCGGCTCTTTGTATTAACTGTCTTCCCACATCCATCACACACAGCATCACTTCTATGCTGAACGTAAACGCAGCTATGATCTGTGAACAAGTCAAGACTGTGCGTTTTGTGCTCTAATGTTTTGTGACTCGGGTTTCTCATTGGCTCCCACTCTTGCGGAGGCGTAGCACGCACATGAATGAGAGGCGGGAGGCGATTGTAGTTCCTATTAACAGGGTGTTTCGACTATCCCGCTAATTGCAGAGTTTACTTTTGTCTGGATGTCATATTTACGATTAAAAACAAATTTAATCAAGATAGATATTTACATTTTCATATAGGAATTGATCCTGAAACATGAAACGCTGGTAACGGAAGTATAAATATTTCAGGATTGCGTCACTACCCCTCAGTCAGTGAGTGAGACGAGGACAGCGGTGAGGAGGAGAGTGCGAGTGCATCGCAGAAACACATACATATAACTGACAGCAGCAAATGAAGCAGCATCTGGCTGCAGTTTAAAGAAGCAGATACTAAGAGGAGAAATCACATCAGCCCATCCAAGCTGAGGCTTCTGAGTTTTCTGAATGTCAGCCTGCACTGAGGACAGACTGCTGAGTTTGTTCTGCTTCTGTTCAGTGGATTTGTAAGAATCCTGCTTTTGAAACAGAACAAATACACTAAATTAGGCAATTATAAGGCTTCTCATAAAAAAACACAATGCAAAAGGGTTTATCAACACACAAAGCACTCGTATTTGCCAGGTAAGACTAAAATATGAGGCTACAGATGATAACAAATTAAGAGCCATTTGGGAGCCAAAAGAGCCGGCTCTTCTTTGGGAGCCGTGCCACAAGAGCCGGCTCTCTGAAGAGAGCCAAACTTCCCATAACTAGTAAATATTTGAAGATTTGGGAAGATGAAGAGTCTTTCTGCCATTATCAGGAGTTTATTTGAGAATTAACTGTTATAAAGTTTTGTGATATTGTAAAGTTGATTTGAAAAGATTTTATTTAAAGATGATGAAATGGAATTAATCCTTGTTGGACTTGTTGCCACTCACTCAATGGCGACACTCTGAGTTTCTAATCTGATATTAAGTTTTTAGAATGAATGTTTCTTTCTGAATGTCATAAACCAGACTGAAACTTGACAAGCTGCTTCAGTGAGATTAGAGTTTACCCCAGCCAATGGCATAGTAGACTTTCATCCTGCGGTCCTCGCTGATATTGACAGACACGACTTTACTCCACAGTAGCAAGCCCTCCACCAGCATCCAGGAAAAAGAAGCCATGAATAAGAGATGAAGTAGTGCAGTCACCAGGAAGCATGCTGTCTGCAGGATTTAAGGAATACAAAAGCAAAGGTGAGCTGTGGGCTGAGCTGCATTGTTAATTACCTCCCTGAATCATGGATGAAAACGATTTTGTTGGTCATGTCTTTGCAGATTTTCATAAAACATAGCCATTAATTACTGGTTAATGGTTATACTTAAAAATTGTGCTAATGACACATGGCTGTATATTTCTGCTATGCTCACAGACTACTCACAGCATGAAGTCATAACATGCACTTATATCATTTACTGCAGTGCACTTTCTCTGCTGAGTCACTGATCAGACTATAAATAGATCCAGGCAGATCCAGGTAGTAATCAACTGGCCCGCACATATGATTAGCCAGGGGCGGAGCGGGGGTGTGGCTTAGTGGGCTTAAGCCCGGGTTGTTTTGTCAGAAGCCCGGGGTCTTTTGGAGTGTAATTTTTTCATAGTTAGATGCCTGGCTGACAACTGTATAAAGCAAAAACTACACACAATATTCGAAGCACATAGTGCACACTGTGGGAATTTACGACTGTGCGTGAATCCCCCCTGATATTGGTATGATCCGAGCTCAGACAGTAAGCGACTGAGCGAGGGGGCGGGGCAGCTGCTGCCTGCGAGTGCGCTGTTGGAGAAACGCAGCCAGGCAGACAGAGGAGAACTGAAGTTCGACCAGGTACCAAAGCAAATCATTTGTACCGTACAAATAATGTAAATATGACGGTGAATCACGAAAGATTGATATCAAACTGATCACTTGACCCATGTTACGTTACTCGCTCTTCAAGTGAATCAACAAATGGCGAAATGAAAAGCCGAACAACAACAAAGCTGTTTCTTTAGAGAGTCTCAGCTTACATGTGTTTATTTCATATTTTCAGTTGTTTCCCTCCACGGCTAAACAAAGCGTTTCAGTTATGTACTGATATACAACAATGGACATAAGGAGCTTCTTTCAAAGAAAAAACTCAGGTAGATGTTATTTTATATATTATGCTTTGTATGTTGTTCAGTATATTTCTATGCAAAACAAGAGGAACTTCAACACACAGCAGTATATTCACAGCTGAAACCAGATATTTACACTTTATGGAAAACACAAGAACAGTTTTTTTACTGTACAACATCAATTTAAAGTAAACTTGTTTTGTTTTGGGTAAATAAATATTGAAATATCTTTCGAATTAGTTAAATGTCAGAATAAAGAGAGACAGAGCTTCTATTTTTATCACTTTCAAATTTAGGAGTACATGTACACTAAGTTTAATGTTAATTAATAAGAAACTGCAGACGATTCCATTCTGAGCTGAAGAAGCTTCTGATAGGTTCGTAGAGTCCATGTGAGTAAACTGGTGGCACAGCTGTGGATGCATATAAGGCAAAACACAGAGCCTGTTTCTGTGACATGGGAACATCAGGAGATGTCAACCAAAACACCAGGAAGAGAACTGTGGAGCTCCATAAGTCTGGCTCAGAATAAAGTTAACAAACATGTTTTTTATATTTATCAACCTAAAAAAATAAACATTTAGTCTGATTTGATGTTACAATTAAAAAAGTGTTTTTATCTGAAGAGTAAATATCTGGTTTCAACTGTATATTTGATGATTTTCAGCACAAAGAGGGAGAGAGAGGAACAGAGATGAACAAGAGCAGGTGAGACACACATGTTAGTCAAATGGTTGTTTACCAGAAGTATCACCGTATCACAGGTCCTCATGTATCTCGTACCTAGTGTTTCTTTTTAGGTTTACTATTTTTCAAATTCTATATTTATTAAGTTCTGCAGCTTGTTTGCACAACAAGACTAAATAATTATATAAACTTTTCTCAATCTAAATATTGGACTTTGGTAGAATTAAAAAATAAGTATAGTGCAGGTCTATGATGATTTTTAGTGCTGCTATCATCTAGTTCTGATTCTGGTTCTTTCTTGGTTAAGTCCCAAGTAGTCCTGATTTTGAACTGTTGTAGTCCTGTTTTAATTCCGGATCAGTTAGCTGTGTTTTTACTCACAGACCCGACTCTTGGAACGTCAGACCCGATGCCCTTTTCTGTCAGTTCTTGCCCTTGGATGCCTCTGCAGAGGAGACCACTATATTATTGCCGCCTGTATCGCTGGATTTCTGATGTGGGAGAGCGAGTCCCAGGTTCCCTGATCCAGGTAACGACCCATCCTCAGTTTGATCCCAGGTCATCCATTGGTGGCATGCGGCCAGGTTCACGTGCTATCCAGACTTGGACTGCATGATAATTTTCCTGCAATGTTTGTTTTGGTGGCCTTCCCTCAAAAAGGATGACCGGGAGTATGTGTCAGCTTGTCAGGCGTGTGTCCAAAGTAAGGCTTCCAGTTCCATGCCCGCAGGATTCCTCTGGGGGCATTGGACCCACATGTCTCTGGACTTCATCACCGCCCTTCCTCCTTCAGCAGGTAACATAATTATCCTCACTACTGTTGACCACTTTTCTAAACAACCCATTTTATCACCCAAAGTGCCATCCGCACTGGAGATGGCCCAGCTAATGACTGATGATGGGCTCCAGCTGCATCGTGTCAGACTGTGGCTCTCACTTTGCCTCACAGGTGAGGAAAGAGTTCTGCTCCATTCTGGGAGCCCAGATTTCACCCAGAGACTAATGGTCAGGTGCAGAGGACAAATCAGGAGCTGCAGGCCTCTCTTCAATACACCTGGAGTTCCCAGGTGGAACTCCAGGTTGGCCTGGGTCGAGTATGCGCATAACTCCCTGACATCCTCAGCGACTGGGCTCCCGCTATTGATAGGCTATCAGTGATTCTTGTTGCCCTCTGTGGAAGGTGAGTGTTTGGTACCACCTGTTTAACACCATCTCGGCAGGTGTTGGCAACTCAGGAGGGCGACACAAACAGCCCTGCTCTGGACGAAAGAGCAGAATAAACAATGTGCGCATCGCGGTAGGACACTTGAACCGCGTTACTCACCTGGTCAAAAGGTTTGGCTTTCCAGCAAGCGTTTTAGGTACAGACTGAATCCCGCAAACTCTCTCCTAATTACATCGGAACATTTGAGATCGACTTTCTAATTAACCCTGTCACAGTTTGTTTGTTTGCAACATGTGCATCCATGTTCCACGTCTCTCAGCTCAAGCCCACCGTTTCCAGCCACTGTAAATAAGTTCACCAAACTTCATTCTGAGTCCGCGATTGAGTCTTTTAGACTCTGACATAAAAGGAATACAAACTGAAACATAACCACATGACAAACATCATTTTATTCATTTAAATATGAAATGTAGTGAAAAAAATCTTCGTTATTTGCATATTCTTCACACTTAAATGTTTCAGATAAAGCAATTATCAATAAACAATTAATAATAAATTATCAATTTATTAAGAGCAAAAAGCTTTTTACAAAATCCACATTCTGATAGCGTAGGATTAGGATCAACACTGATGCTGATATCGCTCTAAATGACCTATAAAAATTCAGATATTTTCCACTTGGGTGTCCAAACAGGATTTTTCTTTGTTTTTAAATGGGGGATATTCATTTGCTCTTCCTTAAACCCCAGCTGGGTTTGCCAGTAAATATTAAGAACATAAAGTTACAAAGTTCTCAGGATTTAGAAATTGCTTGATTTAATTTCATGTATTTTTATTTTTAAAACACTTGATGTGTTCAATTATATGCAAAGACTCACCTCGTTTTCAGAAGCCCAACTGCTGCACATCAACAGCAGCTCAGCCACTCCCAGAGCAACTATAAGGTTCTTATGGACAGTTGTGCGGTCTGATTTAGGGACACTGTACAAACACACACACGCAAGGACACACAGTAAAAATATGTGAGCAAAGCTCTTACAGCAGTTCTCGGGATTAAAAAAGTTTTACTGCGATGCTGTTCACACATCTACAGAGCACAATGTTCTGCTTTTTTCCGCTCCATTTATTGATGGGAATCTAGCAGGGTTATATGAAATGCTTTTCACCCTTGATGCTTTACAGAGTGCACTCTGTGACGTTTGTGACTCACCCCACGGAGATGAAGAGGATGAAGGTGAAGAGGAGGCCACACAGAGACACTCCACAGCCAATGAACGTCAGCACCTGCAGAGCTTTTTCATTCTCTGGGCTCCTCTGACACAGTAACACACATTTACAGACACACACACACACACACACACACACAGAGCAAATGTTGTATTAATAGCTCATAGTGAAGATGAAAGCACAAATAAAATCCAGAGTACCACAGCCGTGACAGCTGAGTAGAGGAATATTACCTGGGCTTCATACACCTGCAGCAGTAATGCAAAGTTGGTGGTGTGGTTGCAGTAGCACACAGTATATCCATACTGCTTGGACACTATTTCACAGCCCTTGGTATTCCACCACCCACCAGCGTCTGGGCTAATAAGACACAATTTATTCAACAAACACAATTTACATATGTACATCCCCATTTTTGATTAAAAAATTACATTTATTCTGGTTTTATGGGGAATTTAAAGAAATTCAAAATACAAATCCTTAAAAAAAACCTGTAATTTTTACTTACGTTAGATTAAAATCCCAGAAGGCACACACGGGATCATACACAGTACCATCTGGATTCTGTAGAACATATGAGAAATATGAATATAGTTATAAAAAATGGTAGACATGTACAGTTAGCAGAAAATAGAGAGATTTTGTTGACCTGTACTCTATGTTGGAGCTGGAAGCGAACTGCCATGCTAACTGGTTGGTCATCTCCCAGTACTGTGGTAGAAATGACTGAAGAACCCAAGATGGTGCCTAAATACCTGGTTTGGCACAAAAGATTGTGAATTCTCACAGTGAAAGCACACAAGGTAGAACCAAGTATAAAGAACAGGCACCAAAACCTTTTATCTGAAACAAATACTGATGAATCTTTGTACGTTTGTAAGGTCTTTACCTTACAAGATAAATCTACTGCTGTTGTGATTTGGTGCTGTACAAAAAAAAAAAACTGAATTAAATAACCTGAGGATGAAATTTCAACAGAACAGTATGTAGAAATGTTGGGCGATCGTGGCTCAAGATTTGGGAGTTCGCCTTGTAATCGGAAGGTTGCCGGTTTGAGCCCCGGCTCCGACAGCCATCTCTAGACCCAGCAGTCTTAGCTAATTATAGGCCAACCTTCCTTTCATATCAAACATCCTTGAAAGAGCAGTTGTCAAACAGCTAACAGATCATCTGCAGAGGAATGGTTTATTTGAAGAGTTTCAGTCAGGTTTCAGAGCTCATCACAGCACAGAAACAGCTTTAGTGAAGGTTACAAATGATCTTCTTATGGCCTCTGACAGTGGACTCATCTCTGTGCTTGTCCTGCTAGACCTCAGTGCAGCGTTCGATACTGTCGACCATAATATCCTATTAGAGCGATTAGAACATGCTGTAGGTATTACAGGTACTGTGCTGCAGTGGTTTGTATCATATCAATCTAATAGACTCCAGTTCGTGCATGTAAATGGAGAGTCCTCTTCACACACTGAGGTTAATTATGGAGTTCCACAGGGTTCAGTGCTAGGATCAATTCTGTTTACATTATACATGCTTCCCTTAGGCAGCATCATTAGAAGACATAGCATACATTTACACTGCTATGCAGATGACACCCAGCTCTATCTGTCCATGAAGCCAGATAACACACACCAATGAGTTAAACTGCAGAAATGTCTTAAAGACATAAAGACCTGGATGGCCGCTAACTTTCGGCTTCTTAATTCAGATCAAACTGAGGTTATTGTACTCGGCCCTGAAAAGCTTAGAAATATGGTATCTAACCAGATTCTTACTCTGGATGGCATTACCTTGGCCTCCAGTAACGCTGTGAGGAACCTTGGAGTCATTTTTGACCAGGACATGTCCTTCAATGCACATATTAAACAAATATGTAAGACTGCGTTCTTCCATTTGTGCAACATCTCTAAAGTTAGAAATATCCTGTCTCAGAGTGACGCTGAAAAACTAGTTCATGCATTTATTACTTCCAGGCTGGACGACTGTAATTCATTATTATCAGGATGTCCTAAAAACTCCCTGAAAAGCCCTCAGCTAATCCAAAATGCTGCAGCCAGAGTCCTGACAGGGACTAGAAAGAGAGAGCAGATTTCTCCTGTTTTGGCTTCCTGTTAAATCCAGAATTCAAAATCCTGCTCCTCTCATACAAGGTCTTAAATAATCAGGCCCCATCTTATCTTAATGACCTTGTAGTACCATATCACCCTATTAGAGCACTTCGCTCTCGCTCTGCAGGCCTACTTGTTGTTCCTAGAGTATTTAAAAGTAGAATGGGAGGCAGAGCCTTCAGTTTTCAGGCCCCTCTTCTGTGGAACCAGCTTCCAGTTTGGATTCAGGAGACAGACACTATCTCTACTTTCAAGATTAGGCTTCAAACTTTCCTTTTTGCTAAAGCATATAGTTAGGGCTGGACCAGGTGACCCTGAATCCTCCCTTAGTTATGCTGCAATAGACGTAGGCTGACGTGGATTCCCATGATGCATTGAGTTTTACCTTTCCAGTCACCTTTCTCACTCACTATGTGTTAACAGACCTCTCTGCATTGAATCATATCTGTTATTAACCTCTGTCTCTCTTCCACAGCATGTCTTTATCCTGTCTTCCTTCTCTCACCCCAACCGGTCGCAGCAGATGGCCCCGCCCCTCCCTGAGCCTGGTTCTGCTGGAGGTTTCTTCCTGTTAAAAGGGAGTTTTTCCTTCCAACTGTTGCCAAAGTGCTGCTCATAGCGGGTCACGTGATTGTTGGGTTTTTCTCTGTATCTATGAAGCGCCTTGAGGTGACTTTTGTTGTGATTTGGCGCTATATAAATAAAATTGAATTGAATTGAATTGACAGTCTCGGTTGTTGTGTCCTTGGGCAAGACACTTCACCCGTTGCCTACTGGTGGTGGTCAGAGGGCCCAGTGGCGCCAGTGTCCGGCAGCCTCGCCTCTGTCAGTGCGCCCCAGGGCAGCTGTGGCTACAATGTAGCTGCCATCACCAGTGTGTGAATGTGTGTGTGAATGGGTGGATGTGTAAAGCGCTTTGGGGTCCTTAGTGACTAAGTAAAGCGCTATACAAATACAGACCATTTACCATTTAGAAATGCTGCCATGTTCTGTCAGTTACTCTGGGAATGTTACTGTTGAAATGCTTCTGAATGCAGCGCATTTTTAAAATAAAAGTGTATTATATATTATTATACAGATTATTTCATATAGATTTTCTGCTATTTTGCAATGCATTCAAGCAGATGAGGACTCTTTTTTTGGAGCCTTTTCTGGTCTTGTTAACTATAAAGAGAGAGCTACACCTTTTAATATGATGTTTTTTCTGTTTTTGACTATCATGACTATTTACATTTTAGATTCTAACTGAAGGCATCAAAACTATGAATGAACACATATGTATGTATTAAACAAAAAGTGTGAAATAACATGAAAAAACATGTTTTATATTTTAGATTCTTCAAAATAGCCGCCCTGTTGCTTTGACTACTGCTTTGCACGCTCTTGGCATTCTCTCGATGAGCTTCATGAGGTCGTCACCTGAAATGGTTTCCAACAGTCTTGAAGGAGTTCCCAGAGATGCTGAGCACCTGTTGGCCCTTTTGCCTTCACTCTGCAGTCCATCTCATCCCAAACCATCTCCACTGGAATTAGGTCTGGTGACGGGAGGCCAGGCTATGTGGCGCAGCACTCCATCACTCTTCTTCTTGGTCAGGATGCTGTGGTAGCTATGATGGTTCAGTGTGCCTTCAATGTTGAAGGCACAGTGTGTCAACAGTGTCACCAGCAAAGCACCATCATAATAACATTCCTCCTCCTCCATGCTTCATGATGGGAGCCATGCATGTAGAGATCATCCATTTCCCCGTTTCTGTGTCACACAGGTGGAACCAAAGAGCTCAAATTTGGACTCATCAGACCAAAGCACAGATGTCCACAGGTCTAATATCCATTTCTTGTGTTTCTTGGCCCAAACAAATCTCTTCTACTTGTTGCTTTTCCTTAGTCGTGGTTTCTCAGCAGCTATTTGACCATAAAGGCCTGATTCACACAGTCTGCTCTGAACAGCTGATGTAGAGATGTGTCTGCTACTGGAACTCTGTGTGGCATTAATCTGAGGTGCCGTTAACTTGTGATTTCTGAGGCTGGTGACTCGGAAGAACGTATCCTCAGCAGCAGAGGGACTCTGGGTCTTCCTTTCCTGCAGCGGTCCTCATGTGAGCCAGTTTTGTCATAGTGCTTGATGGTTTTTGCGACTGCACTTGGGGACATATTCAAAGTTTTAGCAATTTTTCGACTCACTGACCTTCAGTTGTTAAAGTGATGATGGACTGTCCTTTTTTTACGTAGCTGATTGGTTCTTGCCATAATATGAATTCTAACAGTTGTCAAATACAACACAACTGATGGTCCCAGCTCCATTAAGAAGGCAACAACTAAACCCTCACAAGGCACACCTGTGAAGTGAAATCGAGTTCAGGTGACTACGTCATGAAGCTCACTGAGAGAAGGCCAAGGGTTTGTACCGCTGTCAACAAAGCAAAGGGCAGCTACTTTCAGAAATCTAAAATATAAGACATATTTAGAGTTATTCATCAATTGTTTCTTTGCTACATAATTCCATATATCTTGCTTCATATAGTTGATGTCTTTGGTATGTATCTACAATGTAGAAAGTAATACAAATAAAGAAAAAACAATAAATGAGAAAATATAGCAGATCCCGGGAATAACATCGGAGATCTCTGTCCAGAAGAGCGCAGTCCTGGGAACAGCTAAGATACTGCGCAGGACCCTCAAGCTCCCAGGCCTCTGGTAGAGGACCCGAGCTTGAAGGATAAACCGCCCGCAGGGGCGTGCTGGGTGTTTTTTTTTTTTTTGTATATATATATATATATATATATATATATATATATATCCTCAGATACTCAACTAATCAAAGTGATGTCATGACAAAAATGAATGACCAACAAAACATTTTTTCTCCTTCATTTCTGTCAAACACAGCTGTATGAGACGTTTCTCGCGGTTAGTATCATGGTTGCTAGGCAACCTGAACAGCGCTACGTAGGCTAGACCGTCCCATTTCACAAGCCTCTCACTTCCGCACTTCTCGTACTTATAGTATGCACCGTACGTAGTACGCGTAGTGCGCGTACTTCAAGCGTGCAGACCCTGAATTGGGACACAGCCAGAGACTAAATACACATAAGAGATGATCAAGGGAAGTGGAAACACATGAGGGGGAACAGCTGATACACATGAACCTAATGACAGGACAGGGAAAGTGAAACTACATACACTGACATTAGACACAGACTTTCAAAGTAAAACAGGAAACATGGGGATTAGACGTGACCTGAACTGAACATAACCACACACACATGACACATGACAGGTAGACGCATGAACCAGGAGGAGATGACATAAACAACTAAGAAACAAAGGACTGAACTGCAACCTTGAAATTAACTAGATGAACTAAACTAGGGCACAAATGAATACCAAAATATATAAAAACTCAAACACTGGACCCAGCCCATGACAAAAAATGAATGTACTCCCTAAACTTTTTGGAATGTAAAGTATCACACAGATTTTCTCCATGAAGTTATTATTGTACTTAACACATGTGAGTAATAAGCGTCAAACTAAGAGTGAATTGCTTATGAGAGTGAGCCTACTGGACAGTTTCAACTACGCCTTTTTCTTTGTAACTCAACTTCAAAAGCCAGGATTCTGGGGTTGCCTCAGTACTGTTAATGCTGAGTCCGTGTTTTGAGGGTACCATTCAATAAAACTTGATGTTGAGCCATCTGTTTGTTTAAAAATTACTGAAATCATTGATCTGAATTCACATTTTTACCCAAATTTGAGCCAGCACACCGGGCTTCTCTGAGAAGTCAGAAATTAATCACCTTTATTATAAAATAGTAGATTTGACTAGAACATAATTGTTCAGTATTTAGCACGTTGCTTCAGAGAAAGGAGGCTATCTGATTGAATTGCCCGGTCAGCTGGGACCTCTCTGCATGGAGTTTGCATCTCCCTGTGCCTGTGTGGGTTCATATGCGTGTTAGGTTAATTGCTGATTCTAAATTGGCTATGGATGTGAGGTATATAAATTTCAAAGAAAACAGCAAGTTGACTGTTATTCTAAACCATTCTGAGTCATCATTAATTTGTTGTCTCCTCCTGCAGAGTAGTTCACCCGCCGTGTCTTCGTGCAACGCAGAAACAGTAAATGGATGGTCTCTACATGCATGGTTTCCATCATGAAGCATGGAGGAGGAGGATTGTTGTTATGATGTTATGAACACACACTGAGCCAGCATGGCTAACACAAAATCTTGCAGCAACATGCCATCCTGGTTTGCGTTTAGTTGGACCATCATTTATTTTTGAAAAGGTCAGTGACCCCAAACAGGCCGTGTACGTGTTATTTGACCAAGAATCGAATTTGAGTCCTTCAAGACTTTTGGAAAACATTACAGATGACGACCTCATGAAGCTCATCAAGAATGTCAATGTGTGTGTGTGTGTGCATGTTCTCTCTATTTTTATATTATAATAATAAATGAACCAGTGTTTTAATATTATTTTAATCAAACTTGAATCAAGATAAATGGTGTACTTTTGTAAGGGATGTAATTATTTTTACATCTGTGTACAGTGTGAAATTCTTAAAATAAAAAAATAGGTTATAAGGTGAAAAAAACTTGATGCAGTCTAGCAATACATTTTTTATATAATAATGTAATACCAGCCAGGTTTTCTTTTTTCAACTAGAGCATTAAAATGTCTATAGCACACTGGATTAGTGTATCCTGTATCACTTTGAAATTCCTTGATGTCTTGGTTCCCAACATTAAAAAAGTATTTGGTGTATTATTAAAACAGGAAAATAGTCATTTACAACCTCAGCAAAAAGCTAACTGACTAAGCTATAACCATTTCTGTACTGAAATAAACAGAGAAATTTTACAATGCACAAGTTCACTGGTTTCTCCAGCTTCTCACTCTGAAGCCAATAACTGTATCTTTAGTTTTCATGAAAAAGTTTACATAAATATACAGCTGTAATTTTTCATTTTGACAGATAAAGCTAAAACCTTGAGTAATAACTGATTGTAATTTGGTGGTTTTCAAGCATGGGAGGTGGAGATACTGTATACCTGTATACTGGTGTTGTGGGCAACATGGGGAAATGCCTCAACTACTAATAAGTCACAGGTTAGCTGACCTGCTGCTGCTGTTCTGAGCTTTACTTCTTTATTCAGCTGAATTGAAATTATACAGTTTATAAGCTGATATTTGATGAGCCACGATGGCTATTCTTCAGCTCCGAGTCAGTATAAAGCTTTCAAATCATTAAATTGGACTTTAGCAAGAATCATAATATTAGATTGAAATCAAGAAGCAAGTCATGCTGAAATGCATCTAGGCCAGGCATTCTCATAGTGAAGAGTGCTGCGGCTCACTTAAAACCACAGTGTTTTAATGCTTTGATGTCATCAACAAAATATGTGGCATATTGTCTAAAGTCTTAGATTTTGTCTTAAATCTTCACACTAATTAAAATATAAGAGAAAGTAATGTATTTTCTTTGAAACTTTATCCAAAAATGATCAACAATACAGACTGTTGGCTATAAACAGCTAATGCAAGCCAGTGATATGCAGAGTGTTAAATGGGAATAAATGATCCAGGTGCTTATTGGGACAGTTGCTTTGAAACATGGTCTAAATTAACTGCAATTTCATTAAAAACTATATGCACCAAATACCCAGTCGAAATTCATCTAAAAGAATTATTTCAACAAATCAGGTTTTAAAGCCTTTTGCCCGGGAGTTACTTCTCTCACATAACTCCAGAATAATCCTCCATATAAACGTGAACATAAACTGCAGTGCTGTAAATTATATTGAAATTTTCATTTTATCAAATGTCAATGTTTGCTGAAAAGTCCCATCTTTTTACATCACAGTCACAACTTTATGGATAACACATGACAGTGGGTTAAACTTTTACCTTTGGCTGCCATCAGTGACGGTGGGCTCCATGGTGATGTTCTCCTCAGGATTGAAAAAAGGCCGCAGAGAGCCGTACCACATGTTGACCAGCGTGAGCTTATGGAAACCTGCACATGTGATAAAATACGATGGCAAAGGTTTGTCAGGTTGAACCAAGAAAAAGAACATGTTTTGTTTTTGCTTGCTTGAAGAGCAAGACAGGGAAGGTTTTTGTAGCAATCTCCAACCATTGTTATGGAGATCCTGCATCTTCTGATGTGGGACTGAAATACAGTCTAGGATGGTTGGCGTCTCTGTTTCAGGTCCACAGAAACTCGATCCTCTGAATACTTCCTGCAGCTTCTGCTGCTGCACCACCAATTCTACGAACAGGAGTAAAAAGGTTTAGATACATTATTCATCATTTTAATGCTTATAGTACATATTACAACTCGTGTTATATTCATTTAGTAACACACGTTTACACTTTTTCAGTAGCAGGTTTAAACCAAAGTCTCAAAACAATGACAATAATGTGAATTACAAAGACTGAAAACATCTTAGCAGAAAGCTAAGATACAGAGGTGGGAAGTAATGAAGTACAAATACTTTGTTACTGCATGTCAGCAGCACTTTCAGTTATCTGTACTTTACATGAATATTATTTTTTCTGACAACTTTTCACTTTTACTCCCAACATTTTTAACACAGATCTGTACTTTCTACTCCTTACATTTTCAAAGCAGGCCCGTTACTTCAGGCTCAGCAGTATCATTTATAGCGTTTATACTTAGCAGGTAAAACTGGGCCGAGTGCATGTGTCCATATGTTGTAGTCGAGCTTCTAGAGGAATAAACATGAGTAATGTTTCTACACAACGTAACATTTGTACACATTTTCACCCAGCCCAACAAACATCAGCAAACACACAAACTGTTTGTGTGCAGTTAATATCACATATAGTATAATCTTACAATAAAATATTAGTCATTCTCCCTGTGAATAATACGTTTTGCTTTCTTACTTTGAGTACATTTCAGAGACTGTACCTTTTCACTTTTACTTGAGTAAAGAAGTAGAATCAGTACTGCAACTTTTACTGGAGTATTTTTTAACTCAAGTATCTGTACTTCTACATAAATACAAAAATGTCTGTACCTTTGCCACCTCAGCAAGATAGAACATCTTCCGTAGCAACATTATTTCTATACTGCACCAAACCAGGACTTTAATCTAATAATAGACAGTTTCTTGTTGCAGAGGTGCTTCAAGCTTTATAAGTTTTACAATTTTGTATTTTTACATAACTCAAACATCATCAGAAATTTAAAAAAGTCCTGAAAGCAAATAAAACAAACCAGACAAAGAAATGAGACCAAAATATTAGATTGTAATTATTACATATCTGTGAGTGGGAGATCACATTTGCGGCCTTTTGCTTTTAGTATCAGTGACTTTCAGACTAAATATTATGTTATTATTAATGTTATTATTAGTGATAAGTTCAAACTAAAGATGTCACCCAGAAGCTACACAGTTGCCATTTTCTTAATAATTTTTCCACCAGAACTCTGAAGTGATAACAGGAAACTGAACACGACCTTGTGTTGTGAGGTTTTGTTGTCATGTAGTTTTGTCTCAGACTCTCTATAATTCAATTACAATTCAATTCAATTAATTACACAAACTCACAACAGTCACCTTGAGGTGCTTTATATTGTAAGGTAGACCCTACAATAATACACACAGGGAAAAACTGGGGGGGTCATATGATTGTTGGGTTGGGGGTCAGCTGCTTTATGGTGTGGGTAATAAAGTTCAGAGAATTTGTTAGTGACCATGTTTACATTTGGCTCAGTGAAGTTTGGACTTTACTCTCATATTTTATTTTTTATTTTCTCCATGTTTTATTTTTCAAGGCTAAGAGTGAGCATTGTTTACATGCTTATTGTTTTTCCATCGTGTTTTTTAATTGCTACGACCAATGCTGCATTCATGTGTTCATCCAGTCAGTATATATTAAAAAAATACTATGTTATTTTATCCCAAGACCCAGACCGCATGCAGTGTTTGTTATTGATTCTTTGGAATTGAACTGAATTGTATTCAGTCTGAGAGCATCTGAGTTTTGTTACTTATGTTTCTAGTTTTGGTTCTTGTTTGGTTTCATCTCTGTTCCATTTTTCATGTCCAGTCTGTCTTTGTCTCGTCTCTGTGTCCTGCCTCCATCTGTCTGATCTGTGCTTTGTCCTTTTTCTTCCCAGTCTGTCATGTCTCCATCACTGTTTATTCCCCAGTTGGTTAAATCAAATGAAGAATTGAATTTATTTCTTCTCCTCATATACAAGGTCTTGAATATTCATGTCCCATCACAACTTAAACACCTCACAGTACCTTATCGCCCCAACAGAGCACTTCCCCCTCAGACTGCATCCTATTTGTGGTTCCTGGGTTTTTAAAAGGAGAACAGGAAACAGCTGTCATGCCATCAGCTGTCAGGACCCCTGTCTTGTAGAACCAATTCCCAATCTGGATTCAGGAAACAGACCATCTTTCTACGTTTAAGATTAGGCTTTAAATTTTCCTTTAAAAAAAAAAAAAAAGCTTATAGTTATGCCTGGATCAGGTGACCTTGAATACATCCTTAGTGATGGTGCAATAAGCCTAGGCTGCTGTCGGCTTCCCATGATGCACCGAGTCTTTCTCCTTCACTCACCTCTTTTCACTACCTCTCTGTGTTTATCCACCACTTTGCATTCAATTGTTTGTTATAATTAATCCCTGGCTCTCTTTAACAGTCTGTGTTCTGTCCTGCTCTTTCTCCTCATCCCAAACCGATCGTGGCAGATGTCTGTCCCCCAGTTCTTTCTTCCTGTTTTTCACCTGATTGTTGGGGTTTTCTCTGTATTTTCGTAGGGTCGTTAATATAAAGCAACCTTACAATATAAAGCGTCTTGAGGAGATTGTTGTGATCTGATGATAGTAGATGACAGCAACGGACAGGCTGTAACAGGCTGAGTGAGTTAAAATGATGTCACTCTGCAGTGATTCTTCATATTCTTCTTTTCCATTGTCAGCCAGTGCTTGTTCGTGGGTGGGAGGGGTCATCTGATTGTTGGAGGCTTCTCTGTATGGGACTTAATCCAGTCTCATCCTTGTCTTTGGACTTACTGTAAGACTTTGTTTTGATGGTGTTGATTTATAGCGGGCCAATAGTCATTTGATTGGTAATGTTATTTTAATGGAGAAAGACAGAATATAAATTAAATATCTATATGAATACAGATCCATCCATAGACAGACATGCAGCCAAGTGATACACCCAGCATATCTACACAGCAAAAACTCCAGAGTTAAATTAACACTGGAGAGTGTCTATATGGGTCCACACCTCTGAGTGTTAAATTAACACTTTTGACAGTGTTATATGTTTAAAAGTAACCTAGTCAGTTTTGAAGATTAACAATGGCTAACACTGAGCAGTGCTGATCTTCTAACACTGGAAAATAACTCAAAATGTTAGAAATATTCCAGTGTTAGAAAATCAGCACTGCTCAGTTTCCTCAGATATTGTGTCATATTAAGTTAGTGTCACATAGTGAAGAAAGGTGAAAAATTACTATACAAAGTGACCATCAGCAGACGAGAAGGCATATACTTAACTTTAAAATAAACACAGGTACACAGGTGTGCATTGTTTGTTTGTGGAGAATTTGTTAAAGCAGTAGCCAATCAGCTTTAATTGTCATAGTTGCACTGAGGACATCAAAATCCACAGGACAATGGCAGATTTTACCATTTGAGCAGTGCAATAAGGAAGTGTCTAACAGATCAGTTTAAACATCGTTTGGATACAGTTTAATCCATCAGTGTCTGAATAATAACAGTGGATTTCATTAAAAACCATCCTTATAGCTCAAATGATACTTGTCAACTGAACTGGCTGCAGTTCCTAAACAGCTAATTCAATAGTTTTGTTAAACAGTGTCTTATGATCCATGTTCATGAATACACGCTGGAAAAAAGGTCTACGATCTTAAAATTAAAGCTAAGATACATTCTGCAGTTAGTCATAGTATATCATTTTGTTAAACGTGTATTTGATTATCAGTACAAAACTCCTTTTTATGTTCTATTATTGTGTTTCTGTCATCACTGGTGAATAGATCTCATCTTTCTGAAGGTCATTTGTTACATAATTGCATTTTTTCAGAAGCTTTCTAAAACTGCTTGATGATGAAGCCAGAGCCTGTATCTGTTATACCTTTGTGTCCAAATTCCTCTGCTCTATTTTCACATTTAAGCCATTCTAATGTGTGTGTGTGTGTGTGTCAGAGAGAGAGATAGACTCACTGATGTTGGGGCTGCGGATGGTTAGGTGATTGGTCTCTGCCATTAAGCGAGGGCTCAGGCTGGTCACCATGTGGTCAATGCGTTTGACCACATCCATGGGGCCGTTCACCACCTCAAACACAGACCACGAGCAGGTTAGCAGCAGTGACACGTGCCCACTATGGCCTGCTCACGGCAGTCATCAAACCAAAGAAGGCAGATCTCAAAATGGCCATTCATACAGTACTTTTATCCTCTTAACTGTTTCCCACACTGTTGCAGCAGAACTGGGCACGTACACACCTCAGTGGATGGGCCTATAATGCAGCGCACAATCAGAGATTTCCTGTTGTCTGTATTGAAAACCTGCATTCTGATTTCAATTTGCCCATTGAAGAACTGAGCCTTGGAGACAGCTGGGAGCAGAGCAAGAGAGGGAGGTTTATGGATGAGCACATGCACAGCTTTTTTAAATGGCTCATCATTGAGTCTGCGTTGAGTTGGCCTTGGAGCACTGCGAGTTCTGAGGGGGAAGGGAGGCAAAGTGCTGAGAGAAACACTTGTCATAAGGCAACCTTTATACAGATCCATACACATCAATAGTGCAGAAGCAGAGGAGGAAAAAATAACAGAGTCTGGTGACAGAGATGAGGGAAAACACAGTGCAGCGAGTGTGAACAGGGTTACATGGATGCTTTTACTCAATAATTAGAGAAAATTTGGGAAAATCTGGATGACTAAGCAATGACTTGGAGGCAGACTTTAAATTTATCAGCTCTGTTCTTCATCACTGAAGCTGATGTTGAGCTCTTGGAACAACACAAACCATAGAAGCATACTGTCCTCTGGTGGATTTGAAGGAAAATAACACCTATGTTCCTACAAAACCAGTCACTGGAGCGTAAGTGGGACAACAGCCTTTCTCTTGGTCCTCACACTTCCTCACATCTTTTGATACTGAGCAGTGATTAGACCAGTGCTCTCTTCACCAAATTATAAAGGTTGGGCAAAGCCAATCTAACATGTAGCATCTTTTATTTAGCATCTGACGAAGAAAAGAAACATCACCAATCCTGGATCAATCAAGAGTCAGCTGTCTCATTCTGGAAAGTGCAGCAGGCAGGGAACCACTTGTACAATTAATTAGTTCTCAAAGTTTAAAAAGTTATTTTAGCATAAAGCAGCTTCGCAAATTAGGGAATGTAGTCACAGGTGTTTACGTAGCAGTGAGGTTGTAATGCCTGGGTCCTGAAAGTGTGGCCCATGGACCATCAATATAAATATAATATGATGACCATAAATAATAGAAAGTGTACCAACAGTTATGAGATTCAGCAAAGCATAGTGACATCTAGAACAATTTCTACACGTCTTTAGTACATTTCAGTTTTCAGGTACAAGCACTCTCCTTTCTTGCCATTATCCCCTCGTTGAACCTGGGATTGGGTCATGTGACATGGACTGGGTTTTATAGCACTTTTCTACTCTGAGCACTCAAAGATTGTACGAAAGCTGCCTCATTCACATAAGCACTTTTTTTTTTTACTTGAGTCCTTTCTATACTCTGACGGATGCATCGGGTTAGTACCCTGCCCGAGGACAATTGGCACGTAGGGGCTTAAGTTGCAGTGCCATTTAGCAGCGTTATGGCTTGAGTGTAAACATTCCTCCTCATTCGTTCTGTCCTGGCAGCCGCACATGGCAGCTTGTTATTAAGGTGGCTGGTTCCCCTGCTGTCCTCCTGGCTGCAGATGCGTAACGTTTGCTGTCTGTCCTACAGATTCAGGAGGTTAAACTAGCTGAATGAGCTACCTTCCTGAGGACCAAATGGTTCCATCAGATGTGTTTCTACTTCCAGGAGGTGATGCTCCAACTCAGGATGCAAGGGTAGACGTTCCTGAGCACCCTGGGTGGGAGTTTGAAGCCCTTTAATCATCTGAGGTACTCATCAGGACTATATCCCTGAAACTAATTTTATGTTAATTGCATATAAAATTCAATACATTTTCAATAGGCTTAACAAAAGGTTTGCAAATCTATATTTAACTGTTTATATTTAGGGATGCGACTTCTGTGGATGATACAAGTGTTACGTCTGTGTGTTTTTGGTGCTTTCTAAAGGTTAGTACTTCATACCTCAAATACTTACAAACAAAGGAAATACCAGAATTCGATCTGTGTGTGCATCATAGAAGAGGACAGTGAATTCATTTTTGCTTCTAAATGTATTTTGAATTTATCAGGATCAGCTCTTGAATAGAGAACCACACACACACTCTTAAATCCACTCCCACGGTGAATTTACAGATCACCAGTGAACCCACTATTTTGTTAGTTACTTTAACTCAAGTTACTTTAAATACATGTAGCAAAGGTTTAATTCCAAATATAGAGAGTACTAAACATCAAAACAAACAGAATAATCAGCGATGAGTTAAGCAGACGTTTCCTGCCTTGCCTCCATTTTAGCCACGTTGAGCGAGAGAGCAGGAGTTTGTGCAGCAGTTCTTCAGCATATACAAAGAATAATGACCCTTAAAGACTTGTTTCCCATTTAGAAGCTGCCATTATTCCATTTATTTGAAAATCTATTCCTACTACTTGAGCTTCGGATCCTTAAAGGAAGAGTGGGTTAAGGCTGACAACTACATTCTTCTGTCTGACTGTACAATAGTAATCAGGTCAGATGTAGAGTTATATATTGCACACATTTGGAAACAAAATATGCATTAATTCCCTGAGAGATGGAACATGATCCCTAAAGTTTAGAATAACTGTCGTAGGCTATGGTTTGGGCCACATCCCATTTTTCCTGGCTGTATCTTAATTGGCCCGTGGGGATAAATAAGGTCTTTCTGATTCTGATTCTGGCAAACTAGAAAAAGTATCCTGAACAATCCTGAAAGTAATCATTTGGCATCTTCTACCTTTACGTTTATTCTAATAACAAAAAGAGGGAAAGATTTTTTGGTCTTAGAGGAACTGGCTGTTCAAACAGAAGATGCTGAAGAGAATGATGACTGTGTTTATTTGTGAATGAGGGTAAATGAAGCTTTGAGTACTCAAGTAGAGTAAAAAAGTACTATGTAAGAATCAGTCCATTTACCCTTTATCCATCAGTTTCCTTCTGTTCACCCAATCCTGGAGTGCGGGCTTGCTGCAGCCTCTCCCAGCTATCACAGGCTGACAGGCCGGTACACCCTGACCAGGACTGCCACAGGGCAGGAAAACAAGGAACTCTAAGCACTTCTGGTACAGTCTGAATGACAAGTTGAGGTTGTGTAAAAACTTCTGATATTGCGACACTGCAGGTAAAAACACACAGTCAGTATCAGAGTCACTCCGTGTGAACTACCTCTTTGATGGCTTGCCACTTTAAGGTGTCTTCTTCACTGATGATGCTGTCAGCCAAGCTGATGAAGTGCTGGCTGAGCTCCTGTATGTTGTCCTGGCTGTAGTTAGTGTCATGGGTAAATGGCTGTGAGGGGACGTCTGCAGTTAGAGACAGAAGCTGTATGAGGGACATCATGTCTGCTGGCTGCAGTCCCTCGTCCCGGGTGTCCTCCAGGGCCTGGACAGAGACGTCAAGCAGGGCAGATGCCTGGGCCAGGCTGCTCAGCCCTGATGGCAGCATCAGCTAGGAGAGGACACAGCGACGCTGAGTTTTTAGTGTGATTAATATTTACTAATAACTTTCTGTGACATCAGGTTGAGTTCATGTGTTTTTATTGGTGTTTTCCTGTTGGAAAGTGGAAAAGGCCTGATAAAGAATAAGAAATCAAATTTAAAAAGTCTGGATACAGTCTGGACACAATTATTGTCACAATTATCATAAATAGCACAATAACAATATGATCACAATGTGTTTAGGAGGTGAAAAATAACAGTTGTGTTATTAGTCAGCGTCATCTCAGATTTATTTTTCATTTTAAAAAAATGCAGATTCATGTAGTTGGCAGGAGACACTAACTGCACAAAAGCATACAAAAAGAAAAAACAGTCTGATTTCCTAATGATAGCATGACCTGTATATCACTGACACACTATCAATATTTCATTTTCATATGTTGCAGTTACCCCTCCGTGAATCGCTCCCTTATCGTGGTGGAGGGGTTTGTGGTAGCGTCTCCCTACCAGGGGAGACCAGACAAAGAGTCATTCAGACCCACTATGAGCAGAGATCAAGGGAATTGTCTGCCTGCCTGGGGTAGGGTTACCGGGGCCCTGTCCTGGAGCCAGGCCCGGGTAGGGTGTGTGTCTGGTAGCAAGCCATTAGTCCGGGTACAGCCTGAAAAAGGGACATGAGCCCACCCTCTTGTAGACCCACCACCCTCAGGGGGCGCATTAGGGGTTGGGTGCAATGTGTTCTGGGCCAGGGGAGGCTAGGGGCAGAGACCCTGGCGGACCGATCCTTGTCTACCAGAACTAGCAATTGTTACATGCAATGTCACCTCTCTGGTGTGGAAGGAGCCTGAGTTAGTGCAGTTGAAAGGTCCCAGCTAGATAAAGTCCACCTCAACCCACGGTGTGGGCTCTGGAACCAGTCTCCTGATACTTTTCAATGCAAAGTATGTTACTAGATTTAAATAAAGATATAAAAAATGCAGTGCAGTTATAAAACATATAAAACATGTAGAAGTGTACCTGGCTCTGGTTGGAGAGCTTCATCAGCTGGCTCATGAAAGCAGTGGGCTGAGAGCTCTGAGAGTCACTCATCTGCTTCATCTTCAGGTAACGCTCTGTGCCAAAAACAATATGACATGAATGTAGGTGATATATAGTAAGAGCAGCATGCACTGCTGCTCACAGATCATTACTCAGTCCTGGGCCTGCTGCAACCTCCGAGAGTACAACACTAAACCCAAATCAAAAGTGACCTCCCGTACTTAGAGCTCAGATAGTGTGATTTAGTTACAGGAGGCAAAGAACTGAGACTTTATTACTCAGTATTAATGCTCAGTCGAGGACTGTAACTCCAGCAACCTTGCTTGAAACCATTTTTTTTTTTACCATAGATCAATTCTTTTGATCAACATTTAGAAGAAACTTGGGGGGGAGGGGGGATACAGTGTAGGAAGTCAGTGTAGAAAACATGGAGGATCATTTTCATGGTCATCA